TTGAGCTTCACTTCGAAAATCATTTCAGACCGAGTGTGGGATTTAAATTGATGCTGCGAGCTGCCGGACAGATCAAGCCCATTCCAAACAACCATTTAAGAGAAACCTTTGGGCTTTTAAGTTATTGTGGGCAGTGAACATTTTAATTCTATTGGTGATCCAATCACTTTGGTGGATAACATTAATAACATTAAAACATAACTGTTTCTCAGGGCTGTTTAATGGGCTCTGCGCATGCTTACAGAAAAAAAAATCACGTTGTACAGTACAATGTGCAAGAAGGGAAATCTAAAGCAAATTTGTTTCAAAAGAAAAACAAAATCTTCAAAACTTCTCGTAAATGGGCCCATTACATTGTTGGAAGTGCCATCCTTTGGGTGAGATGTTAAACTGAGGTCCCATCTGCCTGTTCAGGTGGTTGTTAAAGATTTCATGGCATTTATTCCAAAAGGGAGTTTCTCCAGGTGTCCTGGCCAGCAATCTCCTCCAATAAAATTGATCATTCACTTCCTGGCTGTTTGTGGGATAATGCTGTGTAAATTGGTTGCCACATTCACCTACAAAATAGTCAATACGCTCGAATCTTGAATTCACTTAAATCCTGTGAAGCCCTTTGAGGTGTCTTCCCGATATGAAAGGTGCTATATGAAATGTAAGGATTATTGTTATTATTATATAGTGAAACAGTAAATCCAGGAATAGTCTTTCTAGTCTTTTTCCTAATGCAGGCAATCGGTACATGGTTATAATTTCAAATAAGGATTTTTTAACTTGGGATAAGGGAGGACTGCTTATATTTATTTGCGTTTATAATATAATAATAATCCTTGCATTTGATATAGCGCTTTTCACGTTGGGAGGACGTCCCAAAGCGCTTAAATCTTTTACAAATAATAAACTGATGCGTTACATGTTACTCATTCAATTGGACATGAGATTAGTAGGAGGGATGCAAGAGTATTTTTTTTTGTTGCATATCAAATAGTACAAGATTAGAACTTTGCAAGGTTGTAAAGAAATAGTCCAGTTAGAAAATTAACTCATGCACATAGTATATGGTGCTAAATGCTCGGACCAGTACGTTATGTATTTATTTCTACTTTGGGAATCAGTACTTCATGCATTTATTTCTACTTTGCTCAATTCATGGCAACATTTTAGAAGGAATAACCTTCACTTTCGAGAAAAATGCCATCGAATGTGTGATTTGCGATTCTAATATGGGATAGCGTTAGCCACCAAATAATACAAAGCGGTTTGGATAGAGTAATAAACTTGAGTGAGAAAGAAAGAGATGATAAAAAGAACATTAAAAAGCTTTCCAGGATGAGTAATATTGACCAAATACTCACGTTGTGTATTTCTTTCATGAAAGTTACACTGAGTGAAATACAGTCCGGCACAAAGCTAGGTTTGGTATCTGACCAGCCAATGCTTGGCTTATGCCGATTTCCTGAGGTCCACAGATCCTGGAATCACTGATTTTTTTTCATTTATCCAGGGAATACTCATACTCGTAATGAGCCAATTTACCTAACAATGTACTGTATTTGCATAAACGTATGTAAAATCAGCAAAGGGCATTTAAGAGATAATTGACCTCTAATGGATCATCATTTCAATGGTTATTTCCTCCCAGGATTGAGGAGAAAATTTAATCATCCTTGTATTTGGTCTCGCGCCTTATCATGTAGTTGAGACTTCATAGAATATATTGTAAAGTGGATTGACTGTACACTTTTGTGGGTGAAAATACTGCACTTTTAGCAAAATGATGCTTTTGAAAAGGCATAAGTTAGTACCTGATGTTTTATTAAACTTTGAGAGAATAATAATAATCCTTGCATTTGATACTAGCGCTTTTCATGTCTTCCTGACGTCTCAAAGTGCTTCACAGAATATACTGTAAAGTGAATTGACTGTATAGTTTGTGGGTGAAACACAGCAGCCAATGGCTCACAGCAGCGTCCCCACAAACAGCCGTGGATTGAGTCAGGTTGGGGGTGGGAAGCCATTGATTCTTGCTGGGGTTTGGATCCATGGCTGCCAGCGGTTCACAAGTGCCTCAGCTAAGAAACTATTCTGGGATTGCGGAGGATTGGCGATCTATTTGAATTTTCCTTTCCAGGCTATGGGGGTTTTAGGGCCAATTGTAACTAATTTGACACAAACCAAGAAATGGTGCTGTAAGTTTCTGATGTGTAACGCTCAGTTTTACACTGGTTGCTGCCTTTACCGCCAAAGGTCTTTGCGGCATCTTTCAAAAGTTAGGAAACCGTAACACTGGCAATAATCCCAAAACGAACCTAACAGCACTCCAGCTTCAACAGTAGATTTGCACGAATTGACTGCTGCGTTCACACACAAAACACACAGTATTTTACAGTATATCCTGTGAAGTGCTTTGGGACATCCTCCAGATGTGAAAAGTGCTATACCAAATGCAAGGATTATTATTATTATTAATAAAAGCATTCAAATTAGTTGCATATTCTTATATAGTGAGAACATGCATCCCCTCCCTGATGCATAACTCTCGGTTCCCATGTATCACACGATGTCCTTGTATTTTTAATTGTCCTTTGTACTGAGTTTCTGCCTTTAATTTTTACAATCTTTGGCAGTTGCTCAATTCTGTTGGCATATCTGGGTGAGCCTCAAGCTAGTTCTTCCTTCGAGTGCTGACAGCTTATGATTTAGTATGACAAAGGCACATCAATAGGTTACAATTAAACCAGTCGGAGCACTTTGGGCAGTGCCGCTACTTCTCCAGAAATAGCTTTTAATTATCAGCTGTCCGCTTTGCAAGCCGCTGACTCAGCCTCCATTGGTTGCAGGTTATTCTTAGCAGCGTTTTCTGACAGCTTCCAAACAATTTTCTGAGAAATCGTTGAATTTTATTACATACTTACATACTGGCGGATAAGAGGTCCTCAAAGACCACTTAATAGAATGTTTTTCTTGCGTGACTCGTATTGGATTTCGGCTCCACAGGTTCCTGACAACTCTGCTGCCTCATCCAAATTGACCATTTTTTTTGTGTGTATAGATTCCATAAATTATTTTTTTTAATTGTTTTGTCTGCACTGGGAATATATCTCTCTGATCCTGGTCTGGCTTCATCTTACTGGGATCTAGTTCCATAGGTACCAATAACCCCCCCCCCCCTGAGATCATGGCCACAAAAATATACAGTCAATCCACTTTACAGTATATTCTGTGAAGTGCTTTGACACGTCTCGAAGATGTGATAAGGCACTATATCAAATGCGAGGATTATTATTGTTGTTCATATGCAAGTTTTGCCAGAGTGTTGCCAGGCTGCCTGACTGTAGAGGGCATCAATTTGAGCCTAATTTTTCCTTATCTGGCTGCCACACACGTTCAGAGGGTGCTGAAGGGGAGCCAGGAGAAGGAGCCTGGCTAGATTCCTTCAAAATAACTTGGTCACTTCAATCCATGACTGTTTGTGGGACACTGCTCCGTGTCTTCCGGACGTCTCAAAGCGCTTCACAGAATATGCTGTAAAGTCAATGACTACTTTGTAGGTGAAACACGGCAGCCAATTGTGCACAGCAGCGTCCCACAAACAGTCGTGGATTGAAGTGACCGAATTATTTGTATTTTTTTTGGCCCAATGCTACAGATTATGAAAACTGGTTCAATTCAACAGCTCTTAGTTGTCTCCTCCAGAAAGCTGTGCTCAGAGACACAAAGATAGTGTCTGGTCTCTTTGCCAAGTAAACCTTGCTGGAGGGGCTCGAACAACAGTTTGCACTTCCTCCCACCCAGTTATTCGTCTATAGTATCTCCATGGTTACCATCAGAACAAAAATTAGTTCCAAGGAACAGACTGAACTGAAAATAATTAGCTCTTTAATTAGCTATAGCTTTCTTTTGGTTCTATCAATCTCCCTAGGACCTTTGTTTGTTTTAAATGACTCGCGTGTTATTTTGTACAACACTAGGCTGCCTGAAATCAATAAGACTAGATATCAGCCTTCGTCCCCACCCCTCCACATCATTAATATGTAGGACCCCAGGCCTCACTTTAACCTGTAAAAAGCCCTCAAGAGATATTTCAAACTAGTTTTCCATTTTGAAATCCAATTTATACCAACGAATTTTAGAAGCAGGCTTTAACTCTTATTTGCAATGCAATTTTTTTTAAAAAAAGTTGTACGTTTTGTTTCTTTCTCGTTGAAATAGTCCTTTTATTACAATGTTGTGTTGATGGAGAATCAGTATGACTTTCTTTAAAATGATGAAGTCCTGAAAGAGATAAATAAACCAGGATTTTTAGCGTGAAAGTATCCTGAACGAAATGAGTTATAGACCATGCCAGGGTTACAAAATTCAGCAACAAGACTTTGGGGAGTGGGGGGAGAACTTAAAAAAAATACATGGTGGACTGAATGGAGCAGTTTACATTCAATGGAAGAATGCTGAAAGCTTTTTCAAGAACTGGATTTAAGTGCTCGAAGACAAAACCTCATGTGAAGGGCGCTATATAAGTTTGGTTACTATGGGATTTGCTTCATCTCAACTTCTCTCCCAATCTGCTTCAATCTTTGTATTATCTACACATCAAGAGGTAAGCGATTGTTCAGAATCTTTGCTATCTGCTATAGATTATCAATCGATCTCTGGAATTTTCACGTGTGGATGGGATGCATGGAATTCTGTTTGGTCTGGATACCCTTGGTATGGTGATGGGTGTCTGCGTGTGTCAGACACCCACCCGGCTGACCCCCCAAAAAACTACAGAGTATATATTTTTTTAATAGCCAGCTTGGTTGTTAAATCCTGTTACACTCCCTGCTCCTTTCAAAGCTGTGAGATTTCAGCTCTTTAATGCAGTCAGACAGCTTGATCATCATGTCTTTTGTGACAATTAGATACCAGATGATGTAGTAATTGGCATTTCTGTGGTGAGCTAAATTAGTCATGCAGAAACTGAGTGAATACATGATTAAGACAATCATCCTGCAGTCTTTTCATTAACATCAGAGCAGAATTTCAGATTTTATTTGATTATACTCTTTTCCAAAAGCTATGCTGTAATACAGTACCAAACAATACTGAAATCCTTTGCAGATTAAGAATATATTTATTTAAAACAAAACCTCAGAATGCACTGCACAGTTTAATAAAATACTGGCATTTTCATGAATTTATACACTTTCCCCATTGTACACATCGCTCCTCCCTAAGAATTATCACCAGATAATGTTGGATTTTACAATGCTATACTGTTGTCCTCAACAGAGGTCAGGGTTTAGAAATCATTGCAGATTAGTAAATTCAAAACACACCTTTTCTTCTTTTTGACAATTATTTTAAGAGCATGAAAAACAGTTCCAACAATTTATCAAAAGTTAAAAATGATACACAAACTTTACAATATTTTACTCCACATTTTGGACCAGGTATTGAACGGGTTCATACGTAGGAACACATTCGACAGCTTTGGTTAGCATCAAAGTTTAAGTCTGAACTTTGCCAACAAAGGGAGATGATCGGAAGAGTTGCATTCATTGGGTAAACAATTTACAGTACGTAGATCTTGTTCAGTGAGGAGAGTAAGTCTGCCAAGAAGCTCCAAGCCACCGTGGACAGCTTCCTCTACAGAAACAGACAGACATTAGGGTTACATTACAAGTTACTGTAATTTCTATACTGATCTCATCGTATATGAAAAATATACACCTTAGACTGTACCAAATGTGTGGTGAAATCAGCTAATTTCCTGTTGGATGAGCCAACAGTATTAGAGCTGGAAGGTGTAAAGTACCAGACACCCATTGCACAAAGGTGAGCAGGCGGTCAATACCGTTCACCCTTTGTGAACTGATGACTTGTGCCTGTGTTGACTACAAGCTTTTGGCAGGAAAAGTGTTTGTGCTGCCAAACAGAGCCTCTCATTAAAAGGTCATGATGATTAAAACCAAAGGAGTTAACAGTTTAATTGGTTGTTCAAAACCATATATATATATATTAGTAAGAATTTTAAAAAATCTTAAGACGGTGTTTTATTTACCTGACCGCACAGAGGCGCTGCTATTACCTGTTGAATAGAAGATATAATCCACGGTGATAGCAGATCTGGAGTGACAGGTGGTGACTTCAGCTCTACCGCTCTCTGGTACATAATGGGAATACACTGACGTTAAGTTGAAATTGTGCTGGAGAATGGGTGAAGTCCTGCAAAACCCAACAGAATCTTATTTTATTACTGGCTCTCAAATATTTCCCAATCACTTTCCTATTGGAAGCGACAGTAACCTGTTAATTTGTTAATACTTCCAGTAACCATGTTAATTTGGTAATAGTTATAATCCATCCTACGGATGAGACGTTAAACCGAGGTTCCGTCCGCCTGCCTGTTCTGGTAGGCGTTAAAGATCCCATGCCCCTTTTCTAAAAGAGAAGGGAGTTTCTTCTGGTATCCTGGTCAACAACCTCCCAAACAAAAATTAGTCATTCACTTTGTGGCACGTTGCTAAGTGCAATTTTGCTGCCAAATTCGCCTACAAATATACAGTCACTTTACAATAATCCTTTTGAAGTGCTTTGGGATGTCCTCCCGACATGAAAGGCGCTACACCAAATACAAGTATTATTATAATACAAGGGAGGACAGAAAAAGAACATAAACAGCTGATGACATATTTAGCTCACATAGTTGGCATAGTCCACTTTAGCGGTCATGACACTTTAGTGAATGTTATCATTTCTACCAAAAAAATCTGAAAAGCAACTAAAGTGAAAAAATAACGTGAACCAGTAATTAATTAGGCAAGTAATATTCTTTACATATCAGGCGAAACTGGTTTGTTCCAATACAAGAAGCACACAGCCATAAAATAAAGCTTTCATTTTGGAGTTCATAACTGCCCAGGAAAGAACCTGCGATTTAAAAAATAAACTGCAAATTTTAGATCACAAGTAGCCACAATAAATAATTTCTCAGGCTTGAGATTTTTCTTAAAGTTCAGCTCAAATGTATTATTTTTTAGATTACATTCTAGGAAGCAAGAGCTGATCTTTCTAAACCTATAATTAAAACAGTTTATTTCTGGAGGACAGCTGAGACCTTAATTATCCATTTATTATTTACTTCCTTAAATGTAAAAGTAAATAAGTAAAAGGCAATGTGGAAATGCCATTTGCTTCTAACTCTTATAGTGCAATATAAAATCTGCTAAAACACACTTGTTCTTTTTAAGGTTTCAAAATGTATGTCCAAAGGTTCGAGAGAAATTCACGAACTGTGAGTCCAGTTCTTTCTAGTCTGCTCCAACAATATGCCTTAAACCCAAACTAAGATAATTAGCTTGTACATCTGGACAATATTTCCATTTCCCTTATATGCCACCATAATAGCATCTGAACGAGATATGCAATGTATTGCAAAGTTATATGTAATTTTGTGCAAGGCCACTCTCCAGTGGGAGGTGGGTTGAGACACAAATGGCTGAGCGGTGTCTTGAGGTCTGAATGTTCTGAGTCTGCTCATTCATTCGCTCGCTAGAGGACGACAAAATGAGAACCAGGCATGGGAAGAGAACCCCACAAGAGTAGTAACAGCTCCAAGGAGACATGAAATGGCATCTCTACAGTAAATGCAGATCTATAAAGCTGAATAAATCTTGGAAGTGTAAACATATTCTCAACCTGCAAACTACATCCTATCTTATACGCCAGTCATAACTGGACAAATACTACTAGACATTCCGGTGCTTCAGATTCTGTTGTGTTAAGTGGGAGGAGAAAGTTTATTTTTCCCATTCATTTTGTCTGAATTTTTAATGAAAAGCTAACTTACATTTTAACTACAGATGTCTTCTCATTGCTGGCATCCTTTGATACTTCTGAACTGTCCACAGCCTTCAAAGGACGGTCTTTAAAAATATCATATTTACCATTTCATTTTTATAAAATAAATATTTTAAAAATACATAATGAAGTCAGTGTAAAACATGGCGCAGGAACAACAGTGAATGACTAGACTGACAACTCTCACACCAGAATTTGAATTCCTATCAAATTATTCCGATGGAGATATAGCAACAGCATCATCTGGATTGCTGGGAGGGAAAGGAAGGGTAAATGATCACGATTGTGGGCATTAGAAAAAAATACAACATTGAAGCAAGTCATCCATGCCTTTGCTGTTCAACAAGTCAGCCCTAACCTCCGAAGCTGGTGTGTTAGCTCATTGGTAGCATTCTCGCCTCGGAGTCAGAATGCTGTGGGCTCAAATCCCCCGTGGGTCTTGACCTCATAGTCCATCCTGAGCTGACTCTCCAATGCAGCCCTGGGGGGGGGGGGGGCGGTGTTAAACTGAGGTCCCGTCTACGTGTTCATGTGGATGTTAAAGATCCCATGGCAATATTCTAAAAGAGAGTTTTGCCCGGTGTCAGAGACAACAATTCCCCCAAATAAAATTGGCCGCTCCTTTTGTGGCGGTTTGTGTGCTGCCACATATGCCTATAAATATGCAGTCACTCGATTTCACAGTAAATCCTGTGAAGCACTTTGAGACATCCTCCTGACAGAATAAGAATAATAATCCTTGCATTTGATACCGTGCCTTATCACGTCTTCCAGACCTCTCAAAGCGCTTCACAGAATATATTGTAAAATGAATTAATGTGGGCGAAACGAGAAGAGCAAAATCTTAAACACTCATTTCAGTGTTCTTCACATGGTAGTGGGTTGATATAATGAACATATTTCAGGACATACCCGAACCTTCATTTATGTGCTGATAATTTAATGCTTCATATTGACATGCTGAAGAAATTCCGAGATTTTCAGGCCAAAGAGGCTTTGATAAAAGCCTTTGACCTCTGGAGCTCTCCTCCTGACCGGATACCTGTACGTACAATCACAAGTTACAAAACATACCCCCAAATCTTTGCAACAATCCTACACATCTCTGACGGTTCACTTGTCCCGAGTAGTAAACATGGGAGTCACAATATTTGCAAATAAAGTGAGATTTTTTTTCCTCCGCATAGTTGGCATGGACAGCGATGGAAATATAAAATTGTAAATGTGTTTGCTGGCAAGATGCTGGCATGCAATTGCCAATTTAAAGTAATTACCAAATCAAACATAAAAGGTTTTAAAAACCATGGACATTTTAAACAATGCGCAGTTTATATAATAGATGTAATTAAATGGTCATACAAATGCAATTTTTTTTTACTGATGGATTTTGCTTCCAATTCTGTCCCACCCACACGGTGAGCAGGGTGGTTTTCTTCCTGGGATAGACTGTAAAGTGCTCGGGAGGGTGGGGGAGGAAGAGAGAGATGAGAACTAAGTCACCAGAAGAAAAATGCCAAACAATATCCTAAAGAATTGGAACTTTGCTAATAAAACATTCAGGAATGAGCAATCAAATGTTATTTGTTATAAATTTTATATAATTTTTTTTCTTTGGCTCCTAGATATGTAATGGTCACCAATTGGATTTTCCGATTCAAAAGCAAACCATCCCTCCGAGACCTCAGCACCATTGAAACATGAGGCACATGAGGCTCAGAATCAACAAAAGAGGTGTACAAAATATTTCTACTACTACATGTTTTTTCTTTGGGGGGGTGGTGGCTGTCAGATTTCTTTTGTGGATCATAAGTGGTAAATTCAACTTTAAAGATTGGTTTGGATACCCTTACTCAAGGTGATGTGTTTCTACCTGTGTCAATACACCCGGCCGGCCCCCCCAAAAAAATACATCGACTGTACCTTTCCAATTGGCAATCCATCATAGAGTAGCTTCCCGTCCCTGATAAAGTTGTACAGAGGAGAACTGGGAACAGAGTTTAAGTCTCCACAGAAGACGATTGGGCAATATTCACCCTTCCCACTGGAAGCCGCTTTGCCAATCTCGGCCATGAGTATTGCTAGTTGAGCCAGCTTAATGTCTCCTCTCCGAGGATTATATAAGAGGTGAGTATTTGCCACACAGATATTTGGAGCAGCACCACCTGATGAAAGAGCTGGTCGCAGCAATAGCACAAGTCCGACGTTGTCTCGGTCTAACAACGGGATCCGAGGCCGGTAAAACTCCACTGGAATAGCAGAGAGTAGTGAAAACTTAGAACGTTTAAAGCAGATAGCACAGCCATCCCTCTTGTCTCCTGTTCGCATTTTGTATTCACAATGGTAACCTGAAATATAAACCAAGGGGAAAAGTGCTTATTCAGCATTTATAAAGAAAATGACAGGGAGAATAGCGCGGCGGATAAAACCAGGGATTTGCTCGTTCAAAACCTGCCCTGTGCTGAGTTTATTGGTCTCAGCTGGTGCCTCATGGGAAAGCTAAATTAGCTCTGACATTCCCAGGGTAAGGAAGGGGGATACAGGCAGAGTCCTAGCCCCCGGCCTCTCTGCTGCCCCTTCTATCAGCTGTGTACATGTATAGAATCATACAGCACAGAAGGAGGCCATTTGGCCCATCGTGTCTGCCAGCTCTTTGAAAAGAATAAAGCAGATGAAAGAGTAAAGCTCCCCATGGCATTAAGACAACGTCTCTAAATTCAGACACAGAAAAATACCTAACGGTCCTAATTCTGACTAATTTTCCCAACATAGACCCAAAAAGCTGTTAAAAGCCCATCAAGCATTAATATCCGATGTGTTGAAATGGAGAATGCTTCTGTGCTATTGCAAACTATGTTTAAATGTCCCTCCACTAAGGGAATTTATAAGGGGTCAGAGGTATTTATGTCCTTTCTCAAGATCAGGTTCTCAAGATCAGGTAGAGTCCTGTAGCTCAATGGTTAGAACACTTGCCTCGCAAGCGAGACTCCACACGTCTCTGTTTATCTAGCAGTAAGTAGGAACCCGGTTGTTAGTGAATTGGCGGATTGCTTTTCCGGGGTTAATAGTCCTTTTAAAAAAAATAATAAATTGGTCACTCAATCCATGACTGTTTGTGGGACGCTGCTGTGCGCAATTGGCTGCCGTGTTTCGCCCACAGAATATGCAGTCAATTCACTTTACAGTATATTTTGTGAAGCGCTTTGAGATGTCTCGAAGACGTGATAAAGCACTATATAATATCAAATGCAAGGATTATTATTCTAATTATACAAAGTTTAAAAAGAAAAATACTGCTGAATGCACAGCAACATCTAGTGGTGAAAGTACGCAAAGCTTTCCGATGCTATAACACGTAGCTTACCCAGTGCTTCCAGCTTTGGCTTCAGCTGTTTCTTGTAGTGGTTGCTCTGAACTTCTTGTAGACACAATATCTAGGAAGAGACCAATCAACGTAAACGACAGTCATCCATACTACATATATCAGACTGCGCTCCTAACAAGTGATTACAGCACAAGGTGGTCCCAAGACCGTAAAATTAGACCCTGATTTAAAACGCTGCCCACCCCCATTCCCAAATGGCTGCTGGTCCCACTTCTGAGTTGCCAGATGGCTGCTGGTATAGTTGGCAGCTTTCCTGCCCAGGAAGTTTGTGCAAAATATGTACGTCGTCCAGTAGTAACTGCAGGTCAACACCTATAAACACTTGTGTTATAAACAAACTCACACCCTAGCAGGTGCTTTCTAATGGGGTTCCCCTGCATCTCTCCAAAAGAACTTAAAAATTGAAAGAGACTACGATTGCTTCCCATTAAAATAAAACTGATGCTTTAAGATGATTTAAACCTATAATGGTTCTATCAAGTGCAATACTTATCCCTTCAGAATACAAATTTAACAGGCAAAAAGGCATCCAAATAAATGCATTATGACTATTAGAATTGTTTTTTTCTCCAAAGCATTCAGGCTTGAAAAAACATTTCTTTGTTAAGCAGTTCCTGCTTTTACACTGTTGCAAGGAAACAGCTTTACTGCCTCAGCTCCACTATTCTATTACATGTGGAGAGCAGTTTTGTACGTGTATATTTAAATGAATACTCTGCAAACAAGCTTTCACATGTTAGATGATTGCCTTTGACAAAGGGAGCCATTATAAAGGGGCATAGTCTTAAAATCAGAACTAAACCGAGGTCAGGAAGCATCCTTCACACTGGGGATGTACAGATGTGGAATTTTCTGCTCAGTTAGCTGTAGAAGTGGAATCAATGGGAGGTTTAAAAGAGAAATAGACAGGTACTTGGGTATCAGAGGCATTGAGAAGTATGGCCAAAGGGCAGGGCATTTAGATTAAAAGGTCTGTCAAGATCTAATAAACTGGTGCAATAAACTTGATGGGCTCCAGTTCTCAAATGTTCCTATAAGGAACTAAGTTCGCACAAAGCTGAAGATGAAGCTAATGTCAAAACATTGTAGAAATGATTTAGGGTACAGGACATTCACACAGCTATAATGTTAGTTATTTCAATAAAGCACAATAGCTACATTGAAATCAAGAACAACATGAAGACTTTACACAGCTAAATATTTCACAACACTTGGTGAGGTATACATAGGGTTCCAAAGCTGATGAGATTAGAAGCAAGCATCATAAGAAAAACCCAAATAGGAGAAACAACCAAGTTGACTTGAACCCTTGCTAGACCTGAAACATCAAGGCCAAGTGTCCCATTGCTACCCGAGCTGAGATTGACGAGGTTAGCATATACCAAGGACCAAGCCAGAGACATTAATGTGCATTTCACTGCCACATCTCAGGAGTACATTCAGCCACTGAACTATCAGGAAATCCAGACGTACCCTTAAATTGTATATTACTTACATCTGCATCCAACTGTTTCAGTTCCTGGAAGATGTTGGAAAACCGGAATTCCCACTGCAACAAAGGCCAACTGCAATGTCTGTACAAGTGATTATTATCCTCTAACAGGTCCTGAGCCAGAATGTTGTAGGACATCAACGAGAAGTCGAATTGTGTTCTACTTGCAGCTCTTTTGGAATTTCTCTTTTGGCCGCTCTTTTTCTGTGCCGTTAAAGCTTCCCATCGTCTATTTAGCAGTTCGACTGGAAGAGATTGAAATTAAGAGAAATATGTGTGTGTGTGTATATATATACATATATTTTTTACAGCCAAATTCCTCCTCGCCAAGAGGAGGAAATTTCTCTTTTTTATATAAAAAAAAGCCTTCTATTCTCAAGGACTCAGTTTCACCTTCTAGACCGATCTTGTTCAGTCTCCTTCTCTCCCCCCCACAACCCACCTCCTCTATTTCCTTCCTCCAGCCCAGACAGCTGTTTAAAGCGCTTTGAGATATCATCCCGATATTACAATATAAACCAGCGATTAAATTCAGCGGGAGACATTCTATAACAAAATCTGTCAATGGGATTAAAAACTCAAAAGTGTTTTACCTTTCTTACTTATGGTCCCTTGACCTTTTAATTCTCCGGAGACGCACAGATTTCCCAATCCCTTGCCGTGAGAAGCAACGCAATCCGTTTGCTCCTGCCCGGCTTCCGTTGGCGGCGGCTCGTCATTTACTCGCTCGCACTTCCTGCGTTTTGCTTGAGGTTCGTTACCGTTCGGCTTGAAGGGATAGCCAGGCGAACCGAAGGTAGACGACTGATTCATCGAATAGGGATTGAAGGCCGTGCGGACAGGTCCGGGCCCTGTCCACAAGCCGCCACAAAGCGTTGAGGGTGTCCTCCAACAGAACTGACTCCGAACAATGGACGGATTCAGCATCTGAAAACACGGCGGCCACTGAGGATGAAGAAAGCCGGCGTTCCTGAAAAAGATTTGAGGCACCTCTGAGCGTACAACGCTGCTCCTGCCCAGATACTGCAGAGGACGGGTGAGCATAGGATGGCTGGAAAACAAACAAGTTAATTACTGGACACTTGGCGGGGACAAATTTTCCGCGTGAACCAAACGTGGAATTGTCGACTCCTCCAAAACACAACCCCCTCAAAAAAACCAAGTAGTACCAATAAAGTAATTAATAATAATAATAATAATTGCTCTCGACCACAGCGCTTTTTCACGTCTTCTCGACGCCTCAAAGCGCTTCACAGAATAGACTGAAAAGTGAATTGACCGTATATATTTGTGGGCGAATAAATTAATACGAATAATAATAATAAGTAACTTTGAAAAGTAAAGCAGAATAATAAGATCCTCCAGATCCCCAAAAGAAACAGCGCTTCCTCTCTCTCTCTCTCTCTCTCGTCAGAAAAATTCATTAACGACCCAAAACAATATCACCGCGACAGGAAGATGTCGGAATGAATATTCGGAATATATTCAGACTCGTAAGTTCCCGTCCGGAGCAGCTTCGATGTGTGTGTTTTTGGTAATGAAAGAAAAACAGACGTCAGTGTCAGGATTTCCCTGATATGTGGAAGTTTCTTTCTTCTTTTAAGTCAAACAAAGTTTAAAACACCAGCAACACCTGTTCCTCTATATCACGTACAACAACACCCCCAGACACCCCCCCCCCCCCCCACACACACCACACACACCCCACTACACACACCCCCACACACACACCCTCCCCACTACACACACACCCCCACACACACACCCTCCCCACTACACACACACCCCCACACACACACCCTCCCCACTACACACACCCCCCCCACACACACACCCCCACACACACACCCCCACACACACACACACACCCCAGACACACCCCCACACACCCCCCACTACACACACACCCCCCCCCACACACACACACACACCCCCACACACACACACACACACACACTCCAGACACCCCCCCACACACACACACACCCCCACTACACACACACCCCCACACACACAACCACACACACCCCCCCCACACACACACACACCCGCCCACACACACACACACCCACACACACACACACCCCCCCAGACACCCCCCCCACACACACACCCCAATATACACACACACCCCTCCACACACATCGACCCACCCCCACTACACACACCCCTCCACACACACCCACACACACACATCGACCCACCCCCACACCCTCCCTCCTTCTCCCACCCCTCAGGCCATTCCGGGGCTGCCGCGCCCCCCTGGTCAGGCCGCTGTGTGTTTACCTGACGGCCGCGCAGTGTGGTGCGGCGCTCCCCGGCCAGGCCCAGCCCCAGCCCGGGGTCAGCTCCGAGCCTCCACCCGAGGCCCAGCCGCCGCTCCCGCGCCCGCTCAGCATGCTGGGAGTTGTAGTCAGGTGGCTTCCGGTCCCCGGGAACTACAGCAGGAGCCGCGCCTGCGCACAGCGACCACCCCTCGCCACGCCCCCCCCTTTCGCAGAGCTGCGCCTGCGCACAGCGACCACCGCCCCGCCCCTCATTCACTCTCCTCCTGCAGAGCCACGAGGGGGCGGGGCAGCAAATGATACATGTTACCCCCCACACACATACCCCCCCACATCCCCCACCCCCCCACACACACACCCCCCACACACATACCCCCCCCACACCCCCCCACACACACCCACACACATACCCCACCCCCCCACACACATACCCCCACACACACCCCCCACACACCACCCCCCCCACACACACATACCCCACCCCCCCACACACACCCCCCACACACATACCCCCCACACACCTCCACCCCCCCACACACATACCCCCCCCACACACACCCCCACACACACCCCCCCACACACACCCCCCCCACACACACATACCCCCCCACCCCACACACATACCCCCCCACACACACACATACCCCCCACACACACACCCCGCACACACACACCCCCCACACACACATACCCCCACCCCCCCACACACACATACCCCACACACATACCCACCCCCACACACATACCCCCTCACACACACCCCACCCCCCACACACACATACCCCCCCCACCCCCCACACACATACCCCCCCACACACATACCCCCCCACACACACATACCCCACACACACACACACCCCACACACACCCCCCCCACACACATACCCCCACACACACACCCCCAAACACATACACACACAAACACACACCCCCAAACACCCACCCACACACACCCCAAACACACCCCCACACACACACACCCCATACACACCCCCCCACACATACACCCCCCCAAATACCCCCCAAACACACACCCCCACACATACACACCCCCTAACACCCCCTAACACCCCCCCAAACACACACACACACACGCCCTCAAACACATACACACACCTCCAAACACATAAACACACACACATCCCTAAGCAAATACACACACTCATACATACATATACACACCTAAACGCATACACACACATACCCCCATATATACATACACGCGCACACACACACACACACATACCCACGAACACACACACAAATACACGCATTGCAAACCCATCGCGATCAGCGCTTCACACACATATAAACCATTGCATTTCTTTTGGAGTGGTGGTGGGGGGGAGTGGGGAGGGGGGAATGGTGGTAGGGGGGGGAGTGGGGAGAAGGTAGTGGGGAGGGGGGAGTGGTGGTGGGGGGGAGTGGGGAGAAGGTAGTGGGGAGGGGGGAGTGGTGGTGGGGGGAGTGGGGAGGGGGGAGTGGTGGTGGGGGGGAGGGGGAGTGGTGATGGTGGGGGGGAGGGGGGAGTGGTGATGGTGGGGGGGGAGTGGGGAGTGGTGATGGTGGGGGGGAGTGGGGAGTGGTGATGGTGGGGGGGAGTGGGGAGGGGGGAGTGGTGGTGGGGGGAATGGAGTGGGGAGGGGGGAGTGGTGGTGGGGAGTGGTGGTGGGAGTGGGGAGGGGGGAGTGGTGGTGGTGGGAGTGGGGAGGGGGAGTGGTGGGGGGAGTGGGGAGGTGGGAGTGGGGAGGTGTGAGTGGTGGGGGGGGGGGGGGGGGAGTGGGGAGGGGGGGATGGAAACCCATATGAGCATTAACTAATAGCAGCCACAGACCGGTGAGCAGATGGTACTCACACGGGGACCATGACGGCAGCGCTTTGCTGAAGTTTGCGGCAATGTCGGGTCCTTGAGTTGGAGAAGGAGATGGATATTGGACTTGGGCTCAGGGTGTGGGGGGGGGGGGGGTGTGTGGGGGGGGGGGCGGCTGCTGCAACCCCCGGGGTGTGCCGAACACTGCTCCCACAGCACACACACAATACACACACACACACACACATATATATATATATATGTGTACACCCACACACACAGCTCTTCAAATCGCGCTGTCAGATCGCTTTAAACCCCATCGGCAACTCATCCCCTCCGACCAACACCTGGAGCGCATCGCGTATCTGCCCACACACCGGCCCTGGGATTGGGGCTGAGGGCTGTCTGTGGGGGGGTGACTGTGTGTGACTGTGTGTGTGTGGGGGGGGGTGTGGGGGTGACTGTGTGTGTGTGGGTGGGTGTGTGGGTGTTGTGTGTGGGGGGTGAGGGAGGGTTTAAAATATATTTTGGCCGTGAAGATAACAACATGGATACAATACGCGGCAACTCGCGGGAACCTCAATAATAAAGGACTGAGTGTTTTGCAGTATATTTAAATACCCGCCTCTGCTCCTCCAGTGATCCCCCCCTCTCTCTCTCTCTCTCTGTCTGTTTCTCTCCCTCTCTCCCTCCCTCTCTCTCTCTCTCCCTCCCTCCCTCTCTCCCTCCCTCTCTCTCTGTCTGTCTGTTTCTCTCCCTCTCTCCCTCCCTCTCTCTCTCTCTCTCTCTCCCTCTCTCCTCTCTCTCTCTGTCTGTCTGTTTCTCTCCCTCCCTCTCTCTCTCCCTCTCTCTCTCCCCCCCACCTCTCTCCCTCTCTCTCTCCCCCCCTCTCTCTCTCCCTTCTCTCCCCACCATCGCCACCACCACCACCATATTCCGCAATCACCTGAATAAAAACGTGTGAAACATCCCGAGTGAAGGGCTTTCATTTTTTTTTAAAAAAAGAAACACTATATATATATATATATAATCTCTATATAAATATAGATATATAATTTTATTCCCGGCCAAGGCAAACAGCCCTGGGAGTTGGTGCCAGGTTGCGGATGGACGGCTTTGCGGATAGGTTGGCACAGTTTTTTTTAAAAAAAAGCACATCACCTGAGCGCGTCTTAAAAAAAAGGGGCAGTGGGTACCACATTGGCAAAGCCTCCCCCGAGGTAAGTTGGCTGTCACTGTAAGGTTCAGCTTCGGTCTCACCTGAAAACCATCTGGTGAAGAGGTGGTCGGTGGTGGGGGGGGGTTGGAGGGTGGTGGGGGGGGGGGGGGTGGTGCTGGGATGGGGTGGGGTGGGGGGCGACCCTTTTTTGCAGGTAAATCCTCCTCCCTGTCCGGCACATCAAAAACCATACGAAGCAGGTTACCAGCCAAGCCACGGGGTGGGTGGGTGGGGTGGGGTGGGGGGGGGAGGATGGGGATGGGATGGGGATGGGGGAGACATTGATGATGTTGAGTCAATACAGGAATTAACGTGACGCACTTCATGTCCTAACAAAGGTCAGTACAGCAAAAATAACACAACCTGCGTGTTCAGCTGATATTACTGACTGCACCGACTAACAGGAAAGACAGCACATGCCTTTGCATCTCTAATATAATAATATTTATTGCAGCATCCTCTCCCCCCTTCTCCCTCTCCCTCTCCCTCCATGTGTGCCACCATTGGTGACCAAGCCTTGAGATCCTATTGCCCCTAACCTCAGGAACCGCCTGCCTCCAACTACTCCATCTCCCCCCCCCCCCCCCCCCCACCCCCCCTTGCTCGGTGTCCACGCCAGGCCCTTTAGAGCGCTCCCGCCCTTGAAGCGAAGTGTGCCGGGTACACGCAAGGTGTTGTCATTACAGTGTAATCCTTGCATTCGAATATAACGCCTTTCACCTTGGGAGGACGTCTGAAAGCACTTCACCGGAGTAGGGGTTTTCTGTCCTACGTTCCGCTCACACAACACACAGTCAATTCGCTTTACAGTGTATTCTGGGAAGCGCTTTGAGACGTCTCGAAGACACGATGAGGCGCTCCATCAGAAGCAAGGGTTATTGTTATTATTGTTATTACATTGCTGTCGTAACAGAGATGTTAAAAGCTCACAATGTTCGGGACAGGAGTCGTGACCGGCACCAACAATGTCTAAAATGTAGCTGAAATGATTGCACAGTGCAGTGGTGTGTGTTGTCTTAATATTGTGCCACATTTTTGTTGCTCCTCTTTTAGTGTTAGAATCATAGGACATTTACAGCGCAGAAGTAGGCTGTTTGTCTCCTGGTTTCCGAGCTCAAGCCAGCTCCCTCTACTGCGGCTATCTACCGTAACCTTATTTCCTTGCTCTCTCCTCATGTCCTTTAATATAAGTTATTTACTCAAACTCAATTTAAAGGGCATTAAGAACTCAGCGTTCACATTCTAGCAATCTCCCGGGTTCAATACAAATCTGCTAATATTCCTTTTTTTCTTTCTTCTGGTTTACGTGTCTTCGATTTATTCCTCTTGGTACTGATTCACTGACTCACCAGTGGAAATAGTATCTCCCTGTTCCACCCAAACGAACCATAATTTCACAATTTTGAAAACCTTGGTTGACGTTAAAGATTCACCCCTTAACATTTTCTGCTCCAACAACAAAAAAACTAACTCCAGAGATGACTTTTAAATGTATGCAGTAATTTGAGGCACTGCATTCAGTATTTCTCCTGGTTATTGGGAAACACACCAACTCCCTCTGGCTGTACTTCTGTGTTCCGCAAGCTATGTGTGGGGGGTGAAGGAAGTTATAGCCTTATAGGTATTATTATCCGCCATACATTTAAGAGTCTTTCTAAAAATTTTCCTTATTTTTTTTCTCAGAAGAATTTCGAAGAAAAAACTATTACACCGATTGGCATCATTCAAAGAACACTCATTTAATTCAATCCTCCGTCATGACAGATGATCTATCTTTTCTATGTGAGTGATTGGGTAAAATACATATAGTCGTGGCATATTTGTTAATTGCTAAAGAGGGTTATTCTAAAGAAATGGAAAGTCATTCTCACTCCGAAATGGTATATTTTAAGAAAGTAATTGAAATTCTTCTGAGGGAACAACTTTGAGTGTTAATGGTAGGCTGGATGGTTGCAGTGCCATCTTGGACTTTATTTTATGACATTATTAAATATAATAATGCTTTATTATTATTTATTATTGGCTGCTGTATTCGACTCCAATGTACACGGTCATTATACTTTACGGGAAAAATCCTGTGAAGTGCTTGAGAGTTTCATCGATGTGATACGGCTTCTACGTCAAATGTGCGGATAATTATTATTTCTCGTTTTGTATTATAAAAACCAAGACTGCTGATTGATCAACAATTCTGATAAACATACGATTATGTCATCATGGTTCACGTTTCCTTTGATCGATTAAAGTGACCTTGATTCCACTTGGGGCTATTTGTGCCTCTCACTGAAGGTTATTTCTCCAGATGCATTTTGATTTTTGAAATAAAATGGGATCAATTGCAAAACTGATGCAAATTGGCCCTCTCAAGTTACGTTTAGCTACTGAGGCACATTTGAGATTGCCTTGCTAGGTGAGCTTCTTCGACTAAGTTGGCGATATCTCTGGGATTTCCATGTGAAGGTGGGATGCATGGAAATCTCAGCTTGGTTTGGGATGGGTTTCCACACGTGTCAGATCCCCGGCTGACCAAAAACAAAGGTAAAAAAATACTTCTTCAATATCGTGGAGTCCCGCAGCTCAGTGGGACGCTGCTGTGCGCAATTGGCTGCCGTGTTTCGCCCACAGAATATGCAGTCAATTCACTTTACAGTATATTCCTTGAAGCGCTTTGAGATGTCTCGAAGACGTGATAAAGCACTATATAATATCAAATGCAAGGATTATTATTCTAATTATACAAAGTTCAAAAAGAAAAACACTGCTGAATGCACAGCAACATCTAGTGGTGAAAGTACGCAAAGCTTTCCGATGCTATAACACGTAGCTTACCCAGTGCTTCCAGCTTTGGCTTCAGCTGTTTCTTGTAGTGGTTGCTCTGAACTTCTTGTAGACACAATATCTAGGAAGAGACCAATCAATGTAAGCGACAGTGATCCATACTACATATATCAGACTGCGCTCCTAACAAGTGATTACAGCGCAAGGTGGTCCCAAGACCGTAAAATTAGACCCTGATTTAAAACGCTGCCCACCCCCATTCCCAAATGGCTGCTGGTCCCACTTCTGAGTTGCCAGATGGCTGCTGGTATAGTTGGCAGCTTTCCTGCCCAGGAAGTTTGCGCAAAATATGTACCACGTTCAGTAGTAACTGCAGGTCAACACCTATAAACACTTGTGTTATAAACAAACTCACACCCTAGCAGGTGCTTTCTAATGGGGTTCCCCTGCATCTCTCCAAAAGAACTTAAAAATTGAAAGAGACTACGATTGCTTCCCATTAAAATAAAACTGATGCTTTAAGAATGATTTAAACTGATAACGGTTCTATCAAATGCAGTAATTATCCCTTAAGACGTGATAAGACACCAGATCAAATGCAAAGATTATTATTATTACTAGTATTGGCCAAACTTGCCAGATATATAGCTTGCCAAAGAGAGGAAGCTAACTGAGAGGCAGGAGTTGTGAGTTCCCGTACCAAATCAAAACATTGTGGGGCGGCATCAATTAAAGCCATCGGGATGCCTGTGCGTGTCGCCAAATCGGTTGAGTCCTGGTTTCCAGAAGTCACGCCGCAGGGAGATGGGTAGCGCTGTGGTCACAGTTCTGGTTGAAGCGACATAAGGGGTCTGTCTACAGTGCAGAGGAGCGCCGCCAGAGTGACCCCCAGAATTACAGGAATAAGTGACGTGTCCTTTTTTAGAAACGGTCACATTTTTCAAAAAGAGAAAGATGAAATCCGTTGCCATTTAAAACACAGTACTGTTTTCCAATTACCTCACTTATTTAAAATACATCTTAGATTACAGGGGCTCTTCTCCTATCAGGTTCCGGAAGCCAGTGTTTTTGAATATGGTTAAACCTATCACACTGTTGAGACGCCTCTCAACGCACTTCGCAGGACAGGTCGTGAAGTGGATGAACCGCGCACTTTGTGGGCAAAACGCGGCAACCGATCACGCACAGCGGTGACCCACAAACAGTCGTGGATTGAGCGACCGCANTTTTTTGGGGGGAAGGGATGATTATTGTGAAAGAGATCCACCGAGCGACTGACAACCGGGTTCCTACTTACTGCTCGGGAAAACGGAGGTGCGAGGAGTAAGGAGATTTTGCCCAAGGTTTCTCCCTGCCCGGGAATCGAACCCGGGTCCTCTCGCTTGTGAGGTGAGTTTACGGGACTCCACGGCATATATTTTAAGAACATTGTTCAATTTTCCCATTGGTCGGGACCGGAAACTGTACAATGTTTTAACAGACGATGTACTTGTGACTGATATGAACGATCACTGTGGTTACAATAACAACACTCTATAGTTTTGTAAGGTTTCCTTTCTGTTATCTTTAGGATAGAGCTCGGGGGGGGGGGGGGGGGGGGGTCAAGCCCTCCCGCCGCTAAGCGACGGGCGCTCTTATAAACACAGAGCGTGAACTTGAGCTGCTCACAAATTTGGGAAGAGGGTGGACTTTGCGTAGGAATAACGCACGACAATCCTGGCATTTGACACGGAGCCTTTATCGCGTCTTCGAGACGTCTCAACAGCGCTTCACGGAATAAGACCGTAAGGTGAAAACGAGACCAGACGTGGCCGGGGCAACACTGGGCGGGTGTCCCCGGCCCCGGGTCAGAACTGGAAAGTGTAGTGACTGTGTATTTTGTGGGTGAAACGCGGCAGTGAGTTGCGCACGGCAGCGGCCGTCTCCGCAAACAGCCGTGGATCGAAGCGACTGATTTTATTATTATTTCTTTCAAGAGGGATTATTATCATCAGGCGCGTGTGTGTGTGCGCGCGTGTGTGCGCGCGCGCGTGTGTGTGTGCATGTGTGCGCGTGCGCGTGTGTATGCGTGTGTGTGCGCGCGCGTGTGTGCGCGTGTGTGTGTATGTGCGTGTGTGTGTGCGCGCGCGTGTGTGTATGTGTGTGTGTGCGCGTATGTATGTATGTGTGCGCGCGCGTGTGTGCGCGTGTGTGCGCGTGTGTGTGGGGGTGTGTGTGGGGGGGTGTGTGTGTGTGTGTGGGGGTGTGTGTGTGGGGGGGTGTGTGTGGGGGTGTGTGTGGGGGGGGGGGGTGTGTGTGTGGGGGTGGGGGCTGTGTGTGTGGGGGGGGATGTGGGGGGTGTGGGGGGGAAACCTGCCCTGACTCTCGGCTGCGCTCTGACCACTGAGCTGCAGGGAATCCACTGCAGTAATGTCACACACACACTGGGGATGGGGGGAGAGGGGGGAGTGACGCTGAGGGGGAGGGGCAGGAAGTGACGGCGCAGTGGGGGTCACTGTACCGGAAGCGGATCAGTGTGGGATTGGGAGAGGGGTATAGGGAGTGGTGATGGGGCTCTGGTGGTGATGATGGCGCGGCGGTGCCGGTGGTGAGGCCGCGGGGGAGGGGGGCGGTGTGGGGGGAGTGTCAGTGCCGGTGGTGCCGGTGTGGGGGGGCCGGGGGGGGAGTGTCGGGGGGGCCGGTGGGGGAGGGGGGGATGTTGGCTCACGGGGCGGTGCGGGACTTGGTTCGCTTCTACACCGTCACAGAGCCGAAGAGGCACCGGAGGGGCCACACAGTGTACAGAGTGACGGCCCGGGTGAGCGGGGCCTGGGGGGGGTGTGGGGGGGTATGTGGGTGGGGGGGGGGGTGACCCCGGGGGGGTGTGTGGGGCTGAGTTGCTGTTGGAGTCTCGGGACCCGCGGCTCCTGAACCACAACCCCGACCCTGAGTGTCACACACACACCCCCACACACACACACACACACACACACCCACACCCCCACACACACACGCACACACACACACACACCACCCTACACACACACAGACACCACACACCACACACCCCCCACACACACACACACACACACACCCCCCCCCACACACACCCCCACACACACACCCCCCCACACACACCCCCCCACACACACCCCACACACACACCCCCTCCACACCCACACATAGAGACACACAAAGACACACACACACAGACACACACACACACACAGAGACAGAGTGATTTGTTTTTTTAACACACATAAACCACCCAAGTTAATTACAGTGTTTTTTTTTGGTGGGGGGGGTGTTTTTTGGGGGGTGTTTGGTTGGGGGGGGTGTTTGGTTGGGGGGGTGTTTGGGTGGGGGGGTGTTTGGGTGGGGGGGGTGTTGATGGGGGGGTGTTTGGTTGGGGGGGTGTTTGGTTGGGGGGGTGTTTGGTTGGGGGGGTGTTTGGTTGGGGGGGGTGTTTGGTTGGGGGGGGTGTTTGGGTGGGGGGGGTGTTTGGTTGGGGGGGTGTTTGCTGGGGGGGTGTTTGCTGGGGGGCTCAATCGTTTGCCCGGTTTGTTGCCGCGTTTAGCTTTTGGTTTGATGGTCAGAGCGGCCGGAGATACAAACCACCGCAGCGGGTCACACAGCATCCTCTGGTCTGGCAGCACGGTCAATACCCGCTCCCGTGGGGGGGGGCGGGGACATTCGGCCCACTGTCTGCCACTGTTCTTTCTTTCTGTGTCATTTCTCCCACAACGCGCCACAGTCACTACGCTCTATGCAGTGTAATCCCGTGAAGCGCTTTGAGACAGGTCTCGACCACGTGATCAGCGCTGGGTCTGAACACCAGGATTGTCGTCGTCGTTATTATTATTATTATTATTAAATTATCCTCTTTTTTTATTGATCCCACTTTCCGGCTCTTTTCAGTCTCGTGGGCTTTGATGGTTTTGCTGTTGGTGTTTGTTATGTTTATATTATTCGCGCATTGTCCGAGGGTTGCGTTTCATAACATTCTCTCATGGGGTCCCCAATAATGTTGATTATGGTTAAATACCGTCACCCGGATCTAAACAATGATTCGGGTGAAATCCGATATCAACCATTAACGTTTGCTCTCTTTGTTTTGTTTTGTTTTTTAAAAAAAACAGATCGTTTCAAGGAAGAACCCGGAGGATGTCCAAGAGGTAATGAGCTTTCACGGCCACGTGTTTGGTTGGCACACGGTCAGTTTATTCTCGATCCGTCCGAATCTCTCCGGCTGGTAGAACAATTCGTGAGCTGGCGACGTCCTTGGCCGTTCTCCGTGCACTTGGCCCGCCGCGTTTCGCCCACAAAGCTCGCAGTATATTCCGTGAAGCGCTTTGAGCCGTCTGGAAGACGTGGAAAGGCGCTACACGCCGAACACAAATACGAACGCGACGTTTTTCTGGCGCCGCATTCGTGCGTCGTCCCGCCTGTACCGCGAACTCAAAAGTCCCACCGTGGGTCTTGACTCGGGAGACGAGGTGGTTGGCAGTCGAGTCCGGGCTTCGCTCCGGTCTGCGTGGGCCACGCACATTCCGTTCGGAAGCGCTCGATCGTTTCGTGTCTGCCCCGAACTCTCCGGGCATTCCAGCAGTTGAGCAGCGCCACCGAAACAAATCATTTCAAAGGGGTAGTGGTAATAACAATCCCTGCATTCGATTTGGTGCCTGATCACGTCGTCGAGTCGTCTCGAAGCGCGTCGCAGAATATACCGTAAAGTGCGGTCACTGCGTACTTTGTGGGCGAAACGCGGCAGCCAATTGCGCGCGGCGGCGGCCGTCCCCCACACACAAACACTCGAGGTTTGAGGGGCCACATTTTTATTTTTTTTGAAGGGATTAGAACCCCTGGAAAAGTGATCCGTCAGTCGACTGACAACCGGGTTCCTGCTTACTGCCGGGTAATCAGTGGCGTGGTGTGGAGCGAGGAAACTTCCCTAAGGTTTCGCCCTGCCCGGGAATCGAACCCTGGTCCTCTCACTTGCGAGGCGTGGGCTCTAACAAATAAACTACTGGATTGCCGAGATATGTGATGGGGTGGACACGTTTCTTGCTTATGGACATTTGTCTGAATGATATGCTTTCAGGCAGGATCAGAAAGCTATATCACTGGATTTTTTTTTAAAAAAATTACCGTGTGGAATATTAGAACGTCACACAAAAGCAAAGAACAGAAATGATAGTCTCCTTAAGAACAAAAGTCGCAGCAACGACCCTGCCCTGAATATTGCAAACGATATTAATAGTTTTGAGGGAGAATGGGACAATTCTACAAACAAAGTGAAGAAATACCTTAATTAATGGAATGTATTATTTGATATGTATTAGCTTCTCCCTTTGCCCTTGGCCTGAGGGGCTGTGAAGATCGCAGACACTTGGCCTTTTTCTCACCAGCTGAATTATGTGCCTGTTTTCCATCCCACAAAGAAGAGCCTGATCTCTCAGGGTGTTTCCCCATTAGGACTGTATGGAAATAAGGAATCTAATTGTGTGGGAATTATCATGTCACTGGGCAAAGCCACCACTTGTCACAGACCTGGACAGCACTGCGCTTACTTCAAACACGAGAAACATTTAATTCTTCACTTGTCAACACTTAGTTTTGTTACACGCTGTGTGTTCAAGGTTAAATGTGAAGAGATTGCCCTTGAAATTTTATAACTAACTTTATTAGTTTTTTTTTTCTCTCTTCAGATTGCTGACACTCGATACTAAGCCCAAATATATGGCACAAGGCAATAATTAATTATGATTGCCCATTGTATTTGAGAATCCTGTTTGCCATGCAGTCCGTGTCAGAGACAGTGGAAATGGTTGGATTTTCCTGGTTCTGCTTCACACGAGTGTTTGCGAAATCCTGCTGATGCTGTGATAATGTTCCTTTCAAAGTCATAAAATCATGTCGGGCATTTCAGCTTTAAATAAATCAAGATAAGCGTAGCATTACACTGCAGCGATTGAGATTAATTTTGCAGTTAATGATGAGGCTGAAGCAAACGTACAGACATATTCATGGGCCAAAGCTTAACCTTTTTGTTTTCCCCTGTAGCTAATGTTCTAAATATGCAATACTGTAAGGCACTAGGACACAGAGCTTAAAGTAAAGGGCCTCCTTATTTGTCACTTTGGGATATCTTTCAGCCCATCTGCCCCCGCTCTCTGGTGCTCTGCGCTGGAATCCTTTGCTCCCTCTTGTTCAAGGTTCATCTCAAGACCTACCTCATTGATTGTGCTTTTTTGTCATCCTTCCCCTCCCCTCAGCTCGCTCGCACCCCCAGCTCGGTTACCAAGCCAACAACAACAAGATTTCATTTATAGAGCGCCTTTCACGTCGGGAGGACGTCCCAAGGCGCTGGACAGTTGGGTCAGGACCCGAGCATTGTGGGGAAATGGTCAGGGTGAGGGGAGGGAGGGAGCGAGGAGGGGGTAGAGAGTCGAGAGGGAAGCTGAAGGCTGAAGGTCAAAGAGAAAGGTCTTGAGACCGGCCTTGAAGGAGGAAAGGGAGGAAGCGGCGAAGGCACTGGGGGATGGAGTTCCAGAGCCTCGGGCTGAGAGGCTGAAAGCCCGGCCACCGCTGGTAGGGATTGTTAATACCTCGGGACATCCTGCCAACACGAAAGGCAATATATAAACGTAAATTTGTATTTACATCTTCACCCCAGGATCAGCAGGTTATCAAAATGCAAGGATTATTATTCTTATTCTTATGCTGTCTACAGCAAAACTAAAGTTCTGGTTGTTGTGGGGTCAATATTCACAATTTTTTAAAACATATACTTTACCTGTTTACTGAAACAATTTTTGAAAATAGTTCTACCCCGTGTGAAGGGTGCTATATAAATGCAAGTTGTTGTTATGAATCCCTGTTTAAAAACATGGTAAATTGTTTTGTCAGACTGGTTGGTTATTATTAGTGTTGGCCCTTTAAGTTTTTCCTCTCTCAACATAGTTACTGTGGTTTCCTGTGTTAATCCCAAAGTTACAGGACGTAGTAGGGTTGTTCTGTAACCATTTGTTTGAGCTCATTTTGGACTCTTTCTCCCTCTTTTCAGATAGTAGTTTGGAAACGTTACAGTGATTTTAAGAAACTTCACAGAGAGCTGTGGCAGCTTCACAAAACTTTATACAGACACTCAGAATTATTTCCACCTTTCGCCAAAGGAAAAGTGTTTGGTAAGATAGATTTTGCTTAGTTTTGCTTCTGTGTGCGTGCAAAAAATCCATTGCTGGAGCCTCATTTCTGTTCTACCCCCCATCAACACGGCATCAGCTCACAGAGCAAGGATATCGCTTCAGTCCCACCTCCCCAGTTTATTCATGGAATCCTGTATTCGTGGTTAGAGCACCTGGCGACGCTTCACAGCAGGGTGAAACCTTGGGCAAGTTTCCTTACTCCGCACGCCTCTGTTTATACCCAGCAGTCAGTAGGAACCCGGTTGTTAATCGATCGGCGGATCGTTTTTTGAGGGTTAATAATCCATTAAAAAAAATAAATAAAAAAAATAATTATTATTATTACTTACCTATTCAAGCCCCTCTCTTTATATTCCCTCTTCAAGGCTACAATGGAATCTACCTTCACCATCCTACTTGGCAGGACATTCCACATCCCAATTACTCTCTGGGTGAAAACGTTTCTCCTGGGTTCCCCTTTCGCTCTTCTTGTGGCAATCTTATATCTTATAATAATTAAAATAAATTAGTTTATTAACTTATTTCTCTCTTGCACCGTCAGGAGTGTTGGAATCAGCTTATTGAAGAGATAAGTTATCACATTGCGTAGGTAGCAGCATGTACATTTATTGCAGATTTGTGATTTTTGTATTCAAAAAAATCCGATTGCTGGAATAAGTACAAATCAAGCATTTTCAACAGTCGCCTTTGTTATAAAAGACCTTGGATCACATTTATGGCACATGATTCCTTTTAACCTTTTATTGTGAATTCAGCAGATTTTCACCACAAGAGCGTTTTGAGAATCAAGGACACACGGCAATTGTCTACTCAAACACAATTCTTTCTCTAATGTTGTGAACCATGGGTAGCAGGGCCGAGAAATCTATACAGCATTGTTGTTCCCTCCAGCACTTGGCTGACATTGTGAGGTTCTCGATTACATATAATACGCTATTGTGTTCTGTGTTCATTTTGCCCCAAAATATCAAAATATTAATGGATTATTCATTTATAGGTCTGAGACACCGCCCGGCCTGCAGGGCGTTATATATATGCAAGTTGTCATTGTTGCTGTTGTATTTGCGCTATACCAATGAGAACTAAACCACTCCCGAAAGACATCATTAGTTCAGTGTTAAATAATAATCCTTGTATTCGATATAGCTTCTTATCACGTCTTTGAGACGTCTCAAAGCTCTTCACGGAATATACTGTAAAGGGAATTGACTGCATATATTTGCGGACGAAACGCAGCAATTAAAAAATTCGCACGGCAGTGTCCCACAAACAGTCGTGGATTGAGTGACCAAATTATTATTATAATTTTTTTTTGAAGTGATTAAAACAATCCACCAATCGATTAACAACCGGATTCCTACTTACTGCTGGTAAACAGAGGCCTGTGTGTGGAGTAAGGAAACTTGCCCAAAGTTTCGCCCTGTGTCGGAATCGAACCCAGGTCCTCTCGCCTGCGAGGCAAGTGCTCTAACCGCTGAGCTACAGGACTCCACTAAATGGCGTCAGTACAGTAATCGCCAATTCCAACACCCTACGTGCTGGTGTTGAATGTTTGCTGGGCTCACTAATATATCCTGTCTAATTATAAAGATTAAGAATAAATGTGAACTATTTCACATCAGTCGTGAATATATAATATTAATCGCACTGATCCTTGCATCTGGTACAGAGTCTTTCATGTTGGGAGGACCTTCCAAAATGCTTCATGGGATACACTCTAAAGTGTAGGGACTGTGTGTTTTCTGAGCGAATGCGAGAGCTAAGTTGCGCGCAGCAATATTCCCATAAACAGACTTGCAGTGATTAACCAGTTTTATTTGGGGGATTGTGACCTGGGGGTTGAACCCATAACCTTCTGCCTCAGATTCGAGAGTGCTACCAACTTAGCCAAGCTGACGCACGAAAGACAAGTCTACGACAGATAATGGCTTAAAAGGGATAGGGGATAGGGCAGGGCTGTGGGATTGATAAAACAGTTTGCTGTGAGAACTGATGCAGATTTGAGGAGCCAAACGGCCTCCGTCTTCGCTGTAAATTTGTCTCATTCTAGTTCAGGTGTGTTGAAGAGGATGCGTGTTGTTATTTTGAGTGGTTGTGTTGGGGGAAAAATTCCATCAATTGCACTCATTGCAATATTGCAGGCTCTTTCCAACCATCCCGTCTGGTAATAGATGCAATGAAATAAAACTGATACCCCCAAAGAAAGCACTCCCGACACTCTACACTGCTATTTCTGATGGCCGAGTCGTGTGCTTAATGCCTCCTTCATCGCTACTTTCAATGCTTCAGGTCGCTTTGATGAAACCGTGATCGAAGAGAGACGACAGTGTGCTGAAGACCTCCTTCAATTCTCGGCCAACATCCCAGCCTTGTTTAACAGTAAACAGCTTGAAGATTTCTTTAAGGTGGGTGTCGGTTGTGAAACCATAAAATCTGATACTGAGACGAATGAGTTGAACGAAGCCGTTTGCTGTATATAACACACAGACTGTGTAGTTTAACAGCGACGCTCTTGGGGAGAGGGGGCAGAGGGACTGTGTTATTGCAGTGTTAAGTGTTTTCAGGCTGAAAGCTCCATTGGGCTAAATTTTGAATATCCAATATAACAGCAAGTGATCTTTTGTGGGAGGGGAGAAACCAGGCTGGTGGTGAGGGGGGTGTGGAGGGGTGGGGTTGTGCGGAGGGAAATGGCGAGGGGGTTCTCTGCACCCAGTTTCTTTCCTGATGGTCATCAGCACTCATCACTTTAAATAAAGCTTTCAGATGAACAGAAGCAAATCAGCCAATGAATTTGAATGATTTGTAGTGGTTTAGTCTTTGTTTTTTTTTCCTCCCAAAAAGGGGAACAGTTTTGGTAAGATCTTCAATGGATTCCCTTCCTCAACCACAAAAACAACTTGTATTTATACAGCGCTTTCGGAGAGCTTTAGGTTTGAAGGGAGCCGCTCAAAGACAGACAGAAACGGGGCAAGGTGGAGGAGGCGAGGGAGAGAGTGGTCAATGTGAGTGAATGCGTATGTCAAGTCAAGGGAGCAGCACTGTTGGAGATAAAAGCAGAAGTCGCTGGGAACACGCAACATGGCAGGCAGCATCTACAGAGAGGGATTGGAGGAAGTGAGCACTATTGGAGGCCTGGGAACCTTGGTCGGGGAGTGGAGATGTAAACGCCTTGGTGTGAAAATGCGCGGGATGTTCTTAATATAGGTGACAATTGAAGGTTTGCTTTTTCAGGATGGAGAGGTCCATGATGGGTCTGAGCTGATTGGCCCAGTGGAGCCCTCATCTGAATCTCTGATTGACAGCTTGTCAGATGGCAGTACTGAAGGTACGTGGGTGCTCGAGGAAATTGAACACACGAGGGTTGAGAACGGAAGTTCAACGACAGCAATTTACATTTGCCTGGTACCTTTCGCTTGGAAGAAATGTTTCAGAAGTATTTTACAAAATGCGCTTAACTGGAAATTAAAGTGAATGTTGTTTGGTAGGTCAGTCGGGCAAGCAATTCAAGTGAATTTGGATAAGGTATAAGCCTGGATAACTGAGGAAAAGCTCCACTTTTCTTGAAATAGCACAAAATTCTGCCTGCAGACCTGTGATAGAGATCTTATTTTACACAGCTGGTCACTTAGAGCAAAGTACCCAACAGATGTGAGTGATGTGGTGTTGCCCATTTATTGATAATAATCCTTAGATTTGATATAACGGCTTTCATGTCAGGAGGACATCTCACAGGATTTACTGTAAAGTCTCCTGTTGACCATCTGATTTCATCTCTCCAGGATATGCACCCCACCAACCTCTGATTACAGCAAAAGCCATCTTTTAAATGAATCCAGTGTCCTGGCCTCAGTCAGTCTTCTTGACAACCTGTTCCAGTCGTTAATTACCCTCTAGGTAAAGCAAAATGTCCTGATATTTGTCCCAAACTTGCCCTTTGCAATTCTAAACCTATATCCTCTCGTCTTGGTGCATCCTAAAGTGTTGTTCTGTGCTTACTTTTTCAATCCCATTTAAAACGTCAGGCACTCTTCTGAAATATTTGAAGGCAGAAAGAAAGAACTTGCATTTACGTAGCTGTTTCCACGTCGAAATTTATCAGAGCACTTCACATGTAGTTACTATCTATTGTGGAGACTCGATAGGCAAATGTGACAGCCATTTGCGACAGCAAAGTCCCACAAACAGGCGGAGTTAAACGACTGACTACTCTGGAAGATTGTTGACCAGGACACCAGAAGTAACTCCCTTCTCTATTTTTGGGGGGTTAGCTGGGTGTCTGACACGTGTCGAAAACATACTTAAGAGTATCCAAAACAGATTTGAGTTCTGCATACGTACATATACAGGGATATTTTCCTATGTGGAATGGAATATGCATCCTCTCCTCCCTGGACGGACTCACCCTGTTTACCTAATTCTTAAAAGGAATAGGCACAGTTTGGCGAGAGCCAAGGCTTGGGGACCCCAGAGGATGTGTTAAGGTGCTGCTGGAGTTCAAACTTTTTTTTGTACATCGTAATGTGATCTCTTAACATCCACATGAGGCAAGCGGCTGGCACCTTGTTTAACGTTTTATTTGTAAGGTGACGATGCCTCTGAAATGCAGCGTTCCCTTCAGTCCTGCACACAGTATCGGCCAACTTTCTGAGCTCAGGGTCTCCAACGTGGGGGTTGGCCAAGAGTCAAAGAGCACTGTCAACTCTCCGAGGTTAACTCTCAGATCAGATCAGACCTCCCTACTGCTATCACTGCTGGCTTTGAGGGCTTATTGGAAGATGAATTTGGGCAACCAAAACCTTATTCCTGATGGATCTAAAGTCTTGTAATATAACTCGAGCCAAATCAAGGGTGTGCGCGTAAGCTTTTATGGGTCAATCCAAACTCATAAAGTCCACCGCTCTAAACCACACACCTCGTCCCACCCCCAGTGACCTCCTGCCCTACTTACTATTGGCCCTTTTGTTAATTGTCCAGATACGATTGAAGGAGCACTGAACACAGTCCGCGACGACATGGGAATCGGAACAAAAGTAGAAAAATATCCAGTTTTTCCTTTTTTATATATACATATAGATATATCATATAAACAGAATAGTCCTCACCCAAAAAATGTAACTTGCACAATTTAAAAATTGTTGTGTAGTTCAGCTCACTTCACAAGGGCGACAGGGGAGGGGGGGTTTACTGCCCCTGGTGCTTTTTGCCTTTAAATCCTCATGTAAGATACACAAAGTAAATCAATCTTTTTTTTGTGGGGGGGAGGTGCGAGGGTGTTGTTGTTTGAAGGGATTGCCCTGATTGTGGTTAACCCTTTAACCAAAGCACCGGTCGCTTTGCCGGTCGGTCGGCATGTAGCACACCTGATGACTTTTCTGCTGCTATTCCGAGTTGCACTTTCCAATTCCACCACTCCCCACCCCCGACACTGTTGAAATCCTGTAACCACCTGAAACCCTTACCTCGCCCTTCAGATTCGGCTTCTTCTTTGCCTTCCTCTCTGGCCCTTACCAGCTCGAACCTCGAAATTATAGATTAATCAAAACTCTGCTGTTGTATCCTTTCCCTTTACTGTGTTCCCGTTACTCCCATCCTCATCAGGCTCCACTGATGCCCTGTTCCCACAGCGGATTTACTTCAAGATCCTCATTCTAACTTTAAAGTATCTCCAAGTCCTTGCTCCACCTTATCCATGTGACCTCCTGCAACCTTACCCCCTGCCTGCTCTCTCTGCTCTGATCTGCCTTCTATGCCCAGTCCCCTGCTTGCTCCAACCCGAGGTTCCTCCCACGTCTCTGTTTTCATCAACCTTTTAAAAAGCACCTGCTCTTTGATGCCTTTCATCACCCGCCTCTGTTGCGTGAAAGACGCAACATAAATTCAAGTTGTCCTTTTTCCGCCTCTTACCAATTCATCTTCTTCCCCCCCCGCCCCCGCCCCCCTCAATCTCTCACTCTGCTCAGACACCCACTCAATCTCTAAAGAGCTTTGAGACATTTAACTGTGCAAAAGACGCAACATAAATTCAAATTGTCTTTTTCTTCTGGTGGAGATCCAGTTAATGTCCTCTCACTGCACCAGTCAAGTGGAAATGGTCTTTCTCTGTTTAACCCTAGCAAATGCCTTTCACAATTAACGAACAGAGGAGCTTTGTGAAGGTGAACTTTATGGACAAGATGCCACTGCTCTGCCACTCATCGTATTGCGCAGAACAGCAAAGCCCTCAGACAAGCAGGTTGGCTCCTGCTGTGTTTGAGTGAGTTGATGAGCAATGAACGAGGGGGGAAAAAAATAGCTGGAAAGCTTACTAGAGACTACTAGAGAGTGTTATCACTGGCAAGTTATGTAGTTTCAGCTGGTTAGACTCTAGCAGTTACCCCCAATGCACACTCTGGGCTCCCCCAAGCCTTGGCTCCTGCCAACCTGTGCCTAATACTTTCTGGAATTTGGATGTCTCTCCAGGGAGAGAGAGCGCATTCCATTCCAACAGTGTATCTCTGGGGTTTCTATGTGTAGGTGGGATGCATGGAACTCTCAGCTTGGTTTTAAAGCTCTTACGCACGGTGATGGGTTTCTGCATGTATCAGACGCTCTACTGAAAAGAAACCCCTCAATGAGGACCTTTAAAGGGGAAGGTAGAACATAATAAAAGGGTACAATCATTTTGAAAAGTTTGTGGCATTTCTTGGCTTGCGTTTAGGAACAAACCTTTTTTTTGTTGTTGTTAATATTTTCAGCTCGAAAGGAATTTTGTGGCATTGACGATGTCACCCTCACAAGTCAGTCAGAATCTGGAGGTAAGATCTGACTCTTTGAAGCAATTTCTGAAAAGTTTCTGACATTTTCAGCTAAGCTGTGTAGTGCTCCTCTTAAAGGAAGAGAGGCGTAGGCCTAAACTTCAGGAGGGTAAAACAATTTCACGGCAGAATGAATAGTATTTTCTGATCTTTCTCAGCTCAGGTTGGGCGTTAGATTGGCTTAATTGGGCATTAGAAAATCAGCTTGTGGCTCAGTTTCTTCGCTCTCCCATCACTGGGTCAGAAGAAGATCGTAGGTTGGGGGTCTTTGGTGGGAAGGAATACACTACAGTACAGTATTGGGCAAGACTGCTTTGTCAGAGACATTAAAGGTCTGTCACTATTTGTGGAAGAAAGGTTATTTGATGAACTAAATCCAGTTTATCACACAACTGTTTCTGGATTAAATTGGTCACTTACCTCCTGGCAAGAGCTTTGAGACTCTTCGCTCTCAAAGTTAAAGGCTCTGTATAACTAAATTGCTGTGTACATTGTCTTAGAAAGACTGTCAATAAACACCACTGTAAGGAATTAGTGTCAATGTTTTGAGAGATTTTGACGGGTCGAGAAGATATATATTAAAATAAAAAGTCATTCTAACGTCATAGTTCCATACACCTCACCTGTAAAAGTTACAGAAATGGATCGGGGTATCTGTGGGACACATTAATGCTCATGTCAATGGTAGTGTTGGTATCTTTTGAAATGTAGTAGGTGCAGATGCTGCAAAGATGTCTATTGAGGTTCTAAACAATCAGTTGCCTAGAGTATCTCCTGTTGTCCTGGCAAATAATCTCCAGGTGTAATTAACCATTTACTTCATTGGTGGTTTGTGAGACATTACTGTGAACACATTGGCTGCTTCGTTTACCGACAAGTACACAGTCACTTTACTTCACAGTGATTCTTGTAAAGCGGTTTGGGACTTTTCAATGACGAGATAAGGCGATATAAGAAATAGAAAGAGCTAATATTATTATAATTATATCATCCTGAAGTGTACTGAGAGAGACTATATTGCGGCCATTATTCTCTTATCTCACATTCCTGGATCTTTTAACCAGGTTTGTGCTTATTTGTGTAACCAAAACCTGAATGTATGGAATCCTTTCCCTCTTTCTCTCCCTCTCACCTTTGATAGCTATTTGTATTTTGTTGTAGCTATCTTAAGTTAATAGATGTCCTTTCTCCTCCATCAGGTCAGTTTACAGATCAGTAACTGATTAATGTTGTAATCCGATAATTGACGTGCTAATGTTTAAACCTGAGATAAAGCGGTTTTCCTAATGGCGGCCTGAAATATTAAACTCTGATGAGCAAAAACCTTAATTATTGTGCATTTAACGAGTAAACTGTCTGTCACAATAACCATTCACCCTGCGAATGTTAATGATTGCTTGCTTCTTCTCCCTTAATCCAGGTCATCAGTTTTACTGTATGAGCATCGTAAATAAACCATCTGGAAGTTCCTAAAATGTAATTTAGGGCCATGAAGGATGAGATGTGTGTTTAAAGCCACAATAACCCATTGATAGAAAGGATAGGGCATTTTTCACAACAATTGTTTATGGGAAGGACGCGGTGAAAAACAAAATCAGCCCATTTACCAGAAAGCAGAAGGTATTTTAAAAGTTTTTTTTAAAAAAAGTCTTGATGCTACAGTATGCACCTGGCCCTTCCAGGTGTGTGAAATCACAGCTTCCAATTCAAAAACTTGTGGTTATTTACCTTAACCACTGCACTGACTACATTGACATTTAACAACAACAACAAAATTACATCTGTATAGCGCCTTTCACGTCGGGAGGACGTCCCAAGGCGTTGGACAGTCAGTGTTTCGAGTCAATGTTTAATATCATATCTCATCCGAATGACATTACCTCCAACAATGCAACACCCCCCCCCCCCTCCCACCCCAACCTTGTGTCAGTTTAGACTGTGAGTTCAAGTCCCGATGTAGGATATGAACCCACAACCTTCTGACTTGGGGGCCAGAGCGCTTCGCACTGAGCCAAGCTGATACACAAGTTTTGCTGAGTGTTTGGCTGAGCTCGCACGTAGAGTGACCGTGCCTCTAAAGTCACCTTGCCAGGCCCCTCTCCCTGCTAATGGCCGAGTGGCGTAATCACCCGGCCCTTCCAGATGTGTGAAATCACAGCCTCCGATTCAGAACCGCGTGTTTATTTATCTTAACCACCGAGCTGACTACAGTGACATCCAATTAACCCCAGGGCTTGTCACACACGTGAACATCCAGCCGTAGTTCTTCCCCACTTGGGGATGCTCAGCTCCCTGTTTCCCAGGCTATTCCATGCCCCCGTGTTATTCCCGGTATCGGGTAACCAGAAAAAAAAAGCTGTTTTTACCATTAAATGTCAGTGTTTTGCTGCTTTTTGATGTAATGCATTAATGCGCTAGAGAATACTGCAGAGATGCATCTTTGCTGTGTCTGATTTAGTGAGCATCTGGAGCACAAGACCTTGACTACTCATTAAAACCCATCTAATGGATGGAGCCTGATGTTTCCGTATTGATGGAAATTTTTAGTAACTGATCACCAATTACTCTGTGATATTTGCACTGAGCACTGTCATCTTCATCTGTCTCATCAGTATTCCATCTTGAGGGATTAATTTTCTACTCTTTGATCTTTCCGACTCCCTCACCCCCACCCCCACCTGCGGGGCACTCAATGTTCTACGATTGGTACAACCATCAGGTGACCTGCCGCGGGGCCCCCTTTACGCATGTGACCTTGCAAAGAGGCGTCCTACACTGACTTAACCCTTGACCTTGGCGTCTTGCACTCGCTGTTACCAACAGAGATTTACAGCCCATCTTCTTGGCAGCAGAAACACATTTAGTAGAAGTGACCTAAAGAAATATTGGGAGAATTTGCAAAAAAAACCTGAGTGAAGGGATTGCTTCCCCCGTACCACTGAGTTCCTGATCGCAGCTGTGATAATAATAATAATAATAATCACAAAAATGATAATAATTCCTACATTTGGTATAGTGCCTTTCCTGTTAGGAGGAAGTGTGGTTTGTAGGTGAACGCAGCAGCTAATTTGTGCACAGCAATGTCCCACAGACAGCCATATGGAGTGAGTGACCAATTTGATTTGGGGGCTTGTTGGCCAGGACACCGGGAGGGAGAAACTCCTTTCTCTTTCTAAATAGAGTCGTGGGATCTTTAACATTCACCTGAACAGGCAGACGGCGACTTTGGTTTAACATCTCACGCGAAGGACGGCACCTCTGACAATGCAACGCCAACACCAAATCCAGCGTTGCCTTGGAGTTTCAGCTTTGACTGTGTGATTCCAAATTCCTGACGTGGGGCTTGAACCCACCACCTTCTGGCTCAGAGGCGAGAACGCTACCAACTGAGCCAGGCTGACTCACAGGAAAATTAATGCTCACTCTAAATGATTTCCGTTTTCAAATGATGTTTCGAGGCCTTTCTGCCAGTGCTTCCAGTCTACCAGTTACTTAGACCTTCTGACTTTTCAATCCGAAAATTTCCTGTACAACGTTTAAGTGGTGACTCGTGCCTGTTACTCAGAAAATTAAGCATTCGAAGTGAAATGAGCTTGTGTGTTTAATGACTCAATTAGGCCGTGCTTGAGGGCAGTGAGGAGCATTACTGAAAGAGCCAGTCAGGCATTGGGTACTTTAAGAGGCTTTATTTTCATTTATTTTAAAGCAATTTCTGCGACTCTGCGCTAAAGGAAAATAATGGGTGACCTCAAATATCGCTTCCCGTTTGCTGAATTTATTCACTGCGATTCTGGCTACTTCGGCAAAATTAACACCAAACCCCGTGTCGCAAGCAGCTTTTTGTACGAAGAAATACTGCGTTCAGGGGACAAGTGTTTGATTCCATTTCGGGATTATTTTCCATAGTTTGTCTTGCGGTTTCTGGCCAGTAAAAAGGTGATGCACACTCCCAAGTCGTTTCCATTTGTAGGTGAAGTTTTATAGCCAGAGCTGGACTTCAGACTGATTTAACTGTAGGAACTTGCAGGCGTGAGGTGAATTAAACTGAACAAAGGGAACTGTCAGCCCCAAGTCAGTAGATTCTGGCAGGCACAGAGAAATGTGTTGATAAGCCTTGCAAAACATTGGCCGGCCACAAGAACCGAAGTAGAGGTTTTCGGGGACGTGTTGTACGAGGAGGATAGGTGAGGGTCAAGACAGAGTCAGCAACTCTGAGGTAATGAGCACCGACCTGCAGCTCGTGTCAGGAGAGTGTTAACGAGAATCAAAAGAGCTGGGGTTTTCTGTAGGGCTTTTTATCGTGTCAAAGCAGCAAAGTGTTTCATGAGTCATTACTGTCAAGTGTAGTGACTGTTGTTCGAAGGCAAAATTGTGGAACGAATAATCCCTGGAAAATAATTATTAATCTTGCCGTTATACCCACTGTTCTACCTTTCTGTTGGTGATTTCCCCCCGATCGGCGTCTTAATGGGTTTGTGGTTTACACACGTTGTGCATCATCAGGCTCGTTAACTCAGCAATTGGCACTATAATAATCGTTGCATTTGTTATAATAATAATAATAATCATTGCATAATCGTTCTCACGACTTCGAGACGTATTTCAAAGCGCTTCACAGAATACACTGTAAAGTGGATAAAGTGGAGTGTGTTTTGTGGGCGAAACGGGGCAGCCGGTTGGGTACAGCAAGGTCCAACAAAACAGCCAGGGAATGAGTGACCAATTTTATTTGGGGGGGGGGATCGTCGGCCAGGACACCGGGGGAGAGATAGAGAAACTCCCTTCTCTTTTCGAACAGTGCCGTGGGGTCTTTAACATCCACTTGAACAGGCAGACGGGACCTCGGCTTAACATCTCATCTGAAGGACGGCACTCCAACAAAGAAAACCCCCCGCCCCACCCCCCCCAGCGGCATGTCAGGTTAGATGTGGGGGCTTGAACCCACAACCTTGTAACTTGAGAGGCCAGAATGATACCATTTGCCCCAGAAATTTAGTCAAGAGTGATTCCTCTCTTGTTTCCTCGATGGGGAGAGGGCCTTCCTTGTTTCTGATGTATCTGGATATCTCCCTTTCCCCCCTTACGCAGAGCACGACCTGCCAGGCTGCTCGAGCGACAGCGACTTGCTCTCGCTGACGGTGGATTCCCTGGACGAATTCGACGATGGGATGGCGTCGGGCGGAGATTCTCCGAACCGGTGCCGGGAGCTCGGCCCCTCCCCCGAGCCAGCGGCGAAATCGGGAGCCGCTTCCGGTCTGGAGAGGAGCAGAGACGGGGCGGAAGGAGGCAAAGGCAAGTGGACGCAGCAGATCGGGAGTTTGAAAGCTAGAACGGGGAGAGGGGACTATCTGGAGAAGGCGGGGGAGCAGATAAAGTTGGCATTGCAGAAGGAGTCGGAACAGGACTACGAAGGAGCCTTCAATTTCTATAGGAACGGAGTTGACCTGCTTCTTCAGGGGGTGCAAGGTATGCTTTGAAAGCCTTTGTTTTGGAATTTACCTCCTTTTTTTATTCTCCCCCCCGCCCCCCCCACTCCTCCGAAGCTGGCTTTTTTTTTCCTCTCTCCCTTCATCTACCCATCATCACTCCCGAATGCATTTGATTCTTTTATTATTAATAATAATAATAATCCTTGCATTGGATACAGCGCCTTATCACGATTCAGAGCGCTTCATAGGATACACCGTAAAATATGTTTTGCAGGTGGGTGAAATATATACTTATCTTTTCTTTCTCTCTCGCCTGCCCTGTGGAGGAACCATAACATACCACCCCCTGCCCCCCCCCACCCCCCGTGCTGGACACTGATCACTCTGTGAAACTTAAGTCGCGACAGAACCACACGAATTGAACCATTGGCAGGTTGTCGCTCTGAGCAAATTGTTGTTGTTGTTGCTGCTGCAGCTGCCTTTTTTTGTATTGAACGAGGGAGAAGGCGAGGGGGAGGGGACCATAGATGCAGTCAAAGAAGCGGTTCTTAAGGTAGGATTTAACGATGGATAGAGAGGTGGTGAGGCGGAGGGTTTGAGGCAAGGAGCGCGGAGTCTTTAGGCGTAATAAGGAGGGAAAGAGAGGGAACTTTTGCAGAAGCTCTTCCTCGTTGTATTCAATGAAGGGTTGGAGAGAAAGAGATGTGTTTTCTTCCTGTCACGCTAACGTGCTTTTGGAGAGGGCGGAGGCAAGTTTTATTTCTCTCGTTCGACAGAGTAGCTGCTCGTGACACCTAACGTGTATTCGAATACACCATTGCACACCTTGCGCCCAATTCTGCAGACAAATGAATAGATCGAGTGCGTTTTAGCAGGCATTTGGGCAGCGCAGAACATTTCCGAATGATGTTCATTTAATAGACTAATTGTAATCATTAGCATAACTGCTTGTAGGTAAATGGGAGTTCTTTCATACTACCAGGAGCTTTATGTAATTTGCACCTAATAATGACGGGGGTGCGGGGGGGGGGAAATATTCCCGTGGCACTTTGTGAAACTTAAGTTGCGACAGAATCACATTAGTTGAACTGTGGTAAGTTGTGGCTGCCATTTTTTTTGGGGTGGGGGGGGGTGTGATACTGATTACACACAGAATCACCACTCGCACACCATATCAAACATTAAGCTGCAGTATCATCATTTAGAAGAAAACAGCTATAATTATGCTCGCATGCATGGGCTCAGTATTAAATGCGTTAATTTGCTGTGACACATTAATTACCTGCTTCTCCAGATGTTTTGTGTATTGTTGTGCATGCAGTTTACAAAATAATTACAGTAAAGTTAAATGAAAATAAAATAAGCGGGTGGTTTCTTGCCTTAATATTTTCATTCAAGTGAGACCGTACGAGCCGCAGCTGCACGAACGCTAATGTAAGCGAGTGGTTAGTGGAACAACAAAGGTTGCCATTAGGAGCCTTTTGTCCAAACCTCGTCCCCAGCTGATTTAGCCCATCACACACTTACTGCCATCCTACGATGGTAACTGCTCTGAACGGATTTCGGAGACCTTGTTTCTGTTCTCATTGTGTTTGTTGTGAAATACGAGACCTAGGGCAGGGGTTTGAGGGAGGAACGGGAGTGGGGGTGGTGGTCGGCGGGGGAGGAAGCATAACGTCGTGGTGAATACAGGGACTATTCTTTTTTGATAAGGGACTTCGTTCCTTTTCTGCTTTCAAATTTACTCAGCTATTTGCTGAGCTAAGATCTGTGTGCGTGCGTGTGCGTGCGTGTGCGTGTGTGTCTGGCCGTTTCTCTCTGGATTAGTAATTGGAACGATAACATTTGAATTTGACGCAACACCTTAATCACTCAAAGAGCTTCTGTAGAGGATGTTTCTGTCAAGTGGAGTGACTGCATGTTTCGTAGGCAAACGCAGTAACTGATTTGAGCCCGGGATTATCCACTCGTTTTATCTGGGGGATTGTTGACCAGGACACCGGGAATAACCGGGAATTCTCTTTTCGACGAGCGCCTTAAGATGTTTAACGTTCCCCCCCACCCAACAATGCAGCTCTCTGCCGGGCTGAGCTCAAAGTCCCGACGTGGGGCTTGAAACTACAACCTTCTGACTGGGAAGGAAGTGTCTTGAGTTATGTGTAGTGGACAGACATTCCTGTTGGTGGCAGTAAAAAGCCGGAGAGCTCCAGGCTTGTTCTCCTGGTGAAAGAAAGCGCAAGGACAGACTACGCTGATCTTCGTGGGGTTTCCCCCCCCCCCCCCACCCTGTTCTTCCAACAAAAAAACGTGATTTCTGAATCGAGAATATTTTGGTGGATTACCGGCCACGTTATTGTTCGCCCGTGATCTGCAGCAATACGAATCCTAACGTGCGCCACTTCAAGCCATTCATGGCGCTGTCTGCTCTTGAGGTTTGATGTCCAAACAACCCCTATCTGTGTCTACTACAGGAACAGTAAATCCTGAAATTAGTACAATCCTACTGACTCGGGGTTAAGATGACATGAATAATTTGCTCAAGATTTGATTTCCTAGTTGGTGTTATTTCACCCCCCCCCCCAGCCCCTGTTGCATTCTCTGTGTTATTGTATATGTGCAGGCTGTACTGTTCCCCTGTCTTGTACTGAGTAGCAGGATCAAATGTCACCACAGTTCCCAGGGCTACGGTTTGATTACGGAAACCAAACGTCTTATCAGTGTCTGCTGTGACATCTGCTCCAATCCACCATCAGCAAACTCTAAACCACAGTGAGGCAGAAGGCCATCTCTGCGCGTGAGGCAAGGCAGTGGGTGGATGAGGGCTTGCATTTTTTTGTTGTGAATTAACGTTTTCCGGTTCGAGCACAAACTATACGGGAGGGAAGGGGTCAAACGGCACATGGCTGTGTTGTTCTGCACGGACAAACCCAGCTAATGTCATCTCCAAGCCCTGCTTCCAGCTCAGCCGTTGGGTGTGGTTGAATGTGACATCAGGTTGCCATTGGTGACATTGCCAGAGTACAGTCGAGTACAATCGAATCATATGTCGGTCGCCACAAAACACTGGCAGGATGGTTTGACTTGAGAAGGCCTTTTAGCCCAACTTGATCTCCTCCTTTTACAAATATCGATCGAGCTGTTTCTTAAATGAGTCCAGTGCCTTGGCATTCGGCCAACTTTCCTGGTGAACAGTTCCAGTTGTTGTTTCTTTACCTGGAGGGTAATTACTGTCTGTCCAGAACTTGTCCTTCACATACTCTAAACCCAAGCTCTTTGAGCTCACTGGTGAGTATTGCACTGGGTTCACTTTAGTTCACAGGAATTATTTCACTGAACGGATTACAACAACAACACCCGTTCCATTCCAGCTGCAGGGAAATTTCCCATTTCCCATTCCCATCAAGACTGAGATAGATAGATTTCTTATTCCAAAAGGGATTAAGGGATATGGGGATAAGGCACGGTCAGGTTATTAGCTGGAGTTGGATTAGAAGATCAGCCATGATTGAATGGCGGTGCAGGCTCGAAGGGCCGAATGGCCTCCTCCTGCTCCTACATGTTATGTGGAGGCAGGGTCCATATGTCAAGCTCTCCATCCGGTTGGGATACTTTTAAGGATGGTGGAAGGTTTCGGACACAAGGATGAGCAAACGGGAAGGAAAACAAGAAAACAATCTTTGGGGTTGGGAGGGGCGTGGCAGTTATGAGAGCACTATATTTGTAGCTGGATCAGATAGGTTTTTAACTTCACTTTCTTTTATTAGTGTTGAAGCACGAGGCTATCTTGCTGGTTCTGGGAGAGAGGTGCCAGGTCAAGTGATGGGTGTTCCAGGAACCAGTGACACCAGCACTTGCAGGATCACTAGACAGCAATTTTTAGTAGATCACTGGCATATTGTTTTTCCAGCGCATATATGTTTTTTTAAAAAAAAAGATTTGTGTGTGTCTTGCAATAATTAATGGCGCTTCCCTCCTTGTAGTGTACGTTTGATTTATGCCCGTGTTTTTGCTGCGATTTATAGGGTTAGTTACCATAAAGTATGTGTTGGATTTGTGAGTTTCAAAGCAATTTATGAGGTTGCTTGTTTGCCATCCAGTATCAATTCAATTTGTGAACCTGTGTGTTTCATAGTAATTTATGGAGTTACCTACCACACAGTGCATATATGATTTGTTGTAAAGCTGCACGGCGGATTCAGAAACAAGTGAAACTGATCGGAAGAGATACCCAGACAGGAGTTCTCTTGTGACTTATAAATCTTTGCATTTGACACAGCAACTCAATATGTCGTCAAGATGTCTCAGAACGCTTCACAGTGTAAGCAGGCAGGCAATTTGCACACAGCAATGTCCTACAAAGAGCCATGCAATCATGAAGCCATGACCAATTTTATCTGAGCCAAGTTGACGGGTGCCTTTTGGTCAAGTGCAGGTCGGGGAATGGAATGGATTGACACATATACTCCTGGCTCTGTTGGTAGCCCTCTCGTTTCTGAGGCGGAAGGTTGTGGGTTTAAGCCTCGTAGTCGAGGCGTGATACTGCGGTGCCCACTGTGCGACTCCTGGAGGAGCACTGCGTGGTCAGAGATTCTGTTCTTTGGAGGAGATGTTAAATTGATGCCTCCTCTGTCCAAATGTACGTTAAAGATTCTATGGCAATTACATTCGAAAAGAGAACAAAGTTCCTCCTGGTATCCTGGCCAGCAATCCTCCAGATACACTTGGATAAATTCACCTCATGGCTGTTTGTGGGACGTTGCTGTGTCCAAATCGGCTGTTGGGTTCGCCTACAAATACCCAGTCCCTGCACTTTGCACGGAAAACCTGTGAAGCTCTTTTTTCATTTCGACAACGTGATAAGGAGCTACATCATATGTAGGAATTATTCTAAATTCCACCTGGATCTAGATTGACTCCTATTTGAGTAGTGTTTCAGAGCGTCCAGAATTCGGTTGGTTCCTAAACTCCGCCGTAATTTTGATGGCCGTTATTTCTTTTAAGATCTGCCAGGACAGCGAAGTCAGTCTTGAAGTAAAGACTGAACACGACTTGATTTTGCCCAATTCTGCAGGTTCTGAGCCGCTGAGCTACTAGAGTAAGCCTACAGCCGGGTTGGAAGTTACACCCCCTGTTTGAGGCGAGGAACGTCACTGGGAAAAGAGGGAGGAGAGAGTGTGGCTGAGGCGTTCATTCTCCTCCAGGGGCAGATGAGACCGTTTTCGTTGCATATCAATACACCCGCAAGCCCCGGCCAAAAAAGACGGAGAGATGTGGCCAAAAAGTATATTATTTTCACAGATGGTAATCAATCGTGCCATTTGTGACATTAGCATCAATCTGAGAGCCCCGCTGCCGTAAAAACGGGTTTATAAGTCGTTTTTATTTCCACCCCGCCCCTCCCCGTTTCGTCAGGTCCCGTGTTGGGAAGTTTTCTTGGCGGTGGCCTTGGGGTACGAGCAGCAGATGTTGAGGCCCAAAAATGTGCCCGGTGTGCGACTCTCGGCCCTGATCTCTCGTCTCGTTTCCAGGTGAGCCCAGCCCCAGTCGCCGGGAAGCAGTTAAGAGGAAGACGGCCGAGTACCTCATGCGCGCTGAGCAGATCTCCTCGCAGTACCTGAGGACGTCCGCGGAAAATGGTTCGGTTCATTCCAAGGTACGGCGCCTTTTTGTCTTGTGTGTGTGTGTGGGGTGGATGGAGGGTGGCAGGTGGGGTGGGGCAGGGAGGATTCAGCCACGTGGACGTCGCGGGTGGGAGTGGGAGGGGGAACTAATTAGGGAAAATGGGGAGGGGGGGAGAATAGAAAAAAGGGTGTAAAGTGCAGTGGAGCTCGTGTAGGTGACGCTGCCCCATGAGAGAGCGTCTCCAGGCTGAGATCTCATTCGAACCGAGGTTTCCCCGGGTGAGCTGCTCTTTACGTTCGCCTTTACGTGAGAAAACGTTCTCTCCGGTGGGAGGCGCCGTTTAACACCCATTTTTCCCCCGCCCCCCCCTTCCCAGATTCCCAGACCCTCGTCATTGCTGCTGTGTAACTGAGCGCGCGGAGGGAGCTGGACTGCTTTACCCGTTCCCGCTGTGAAATCCCTGTCCTCCGTATATATTGACCGAGAAGATGATGGGTGAAAGACCGAATTCCACTGAGTAATTTGATTAACTTTTTTTTAAACAAAAAGGGGATTCATTTCATTTCCTACCGGCACAGCCGCCCGTGGCCCGTAGGGGCCGCTGTTATCACTCTTCATCGTCTGTCACCCTGCGGTTCAGTGAACAACTTTCATTTCCATCCGTCCGCGGTTCTGCCCCTGAGAGTGAGTGCGACTTTCTACACATTCAGAGCTTAGCTTCTTGCTAAATTCAGAGGATTATGCCCAGGAATTTTTTTTAAAGAAAAAAACGCGCCAAAGCCCCCCTCCCTCCCCCCCCCCCCCCGCTCATACGATGACAGTAAGCTGCTGACACAGCAGAGCACAGCGCTCAACTTTTAATCTCTGTGATTCCTTCACCCCCACGGGGCGATTCAAAACTAGAGGGTGGCTGCCCTGGGTAGCAAACCCTACTACCCCACCCACCCCAATAAAATTGGTAATTCAATTACTGGCTGTTTGTGGAACAGTGCTGAGGGCAAATCGGTTGCTGCATTTGCCTACCAGTACACGTATACACGGTAAATCCTGCGAAGGGCTCGGAGGCGCTTTTGACTACGCGAAAGGCGCTATAAGCAACACACAATCCAAATTACATTTATGTAGCGCCTTTCGCATCGGGAGGGCGCAAGCATCCATTTTATTAGTATTTTTACTGTGTGTGAGCCGAGCCCGTGTGTTCCAGGCAGGATATTTGACCTGGAGGGGAAGGGGAAGAGGGTATGATTGTAATGGAGGCTTGGCTTGTCCTTGCAGAAAGCCCACATGTGTGTTTTCCAAATGGCGTGGATCCACAGCAAACAGCTGTCACCTGCGTGTGTTATTGCTGCTTCATGATTATCTGTGTGGTGGTGGGGGGGAGGGAGGGGGGAGGGAGGGAAGGCGAGAACCTCACGGTAAGGTTCTTAAACCTCTCTGATAATCTTCCTATGTGTTGCTCCTTCGTGTGTGCTTCACGTCGTGAGTGTTGGCAGTTTATGTCATTTGCAGGAGACACAAGCGTGTCTCTTGTTGATGTCAAATACGTAATGAAGCAGCAAATATTGTCTTATGATCTGGAACCGGAACTTGTTTGCACTTCCCTCTAGACATTGGCCCTGTGTTTTTTTTGTGACAGCAATAATATGCCTTGCATTTGATATAGCGCCTTGCCACGTTTTCAAGACGACTGAAAGTGCTTCACTGTAAAGTGAATTGTACGTTTTGTGGGCGAAACGCGGCAGCCGATTGCGCACAGCAGTAGCGACCCACAAACAGTCGTGGATTGAATGACTAAATTCTTCTTATATTTTTTTTAGGGGATTATTACTCCCAGAAAAGCGCTCCGCCAATTGATTAGCAACCGGGTTCCTACTTACTGCTGGGTAAACAGAGGCGTGTGGAGTAAGGAAACTTGCCCAACTTTTCGCCCTATTCATATTCCCCTCCCCTGAAGCTGTGCAGGTCTATAATGCGAAGGAGCTGGCGTGGGAGGAAGGGGTTTTCACCTGGGGGAGACATTCATGGGACACTACTGTGTGCAATTGGTTGCTGCATTTCGCCCACAAAATATACAGTCAGTTCACTTTACAGTATATCCTGTGAAGCACTTTGAAACGTCACAAAGACATGATAAGGAGCTGTATCAAATGCAAGGATTATTATTATTGTTCCTTCCTTCCTGTTTTAAGCCTACGAGATGTTGTGGCCAATTGTGGACCTGTTGTTATTCGCTGATGAGATTAGATAACCTGGAACTTTCCTGCTTTGCAACGCTCATTACCAGACTCACTGTTGTTTCATCCTCTTAACAAGTTGCATAAATCAGTTGTCTGATTCCTGGCATGATATTGCAAGGATGAAGTGTTGATGGAACTGTACAGTGTGTGAATGTGTGTGTGTGTGAGCATGTAGCATAACGGTCTGGAGATTTGGGAGAAGAAAAGAAAAGACAGTACGGAATCAGAGGGAATTTGTGTTAATAGTGCAGCCAACACTTTCCAATCAAAGAGCCATTAGGTATGGCTGCCGACAGATGGTTAACAGTGGTTCCTCTTAAAGTCCACGTAATTGGGTGAATGCACCTTATACACACGCAGCACAATGAGGCTTTTGTAATATCCTGATTCAGTTTGTTGACTTGAGGCTTGCATAATCAAATATGTATAAAATTAGTAGTGGAGGTGAGTCGAGCTTAGTACTCAGAAAGGCGGGACAGATTACTGCCATTTTCCTTCAGGAACTTAGTTATGTAACCTTTATGCGTATGATGAGGGTTTTGCGAGAGAGGGAGAAAGGAGGAGAAAATCTTGTGTAGACACTTGGCAGATTGACATGAAAATTATTGATATCACAATTGCACAATGAAATGTCCTATTCATAATCTTCACTCTTACAGTACGATGTGATAATACGTTACAGCTCTTCAAAGCTTTTAATTTGTTATTTTGGAAAAACAAAAGCCTTGTTTAACTTGTTCAGTCCACATTTAGATTGCAATATTCCTCATGTCGTCTGTGTCAGTGTGTTGAATTAGCTCAGCTGGTAGCACCCCCACTGGGTGAGAAGGTTTAGGGATCAAGCCCCATGTCGTGGCTCACAAATTTGAGCTCACAGTTTAGGCTGACATTGCCTAGAGGCAGCATTGCATTGCCTGAGGTGCCGTAATAAAAGTAATCCTTGCGTTTTCTATCGTGCCTTATCACATCTTCGACGCGTCTCAAAGCGCTTCGCAGACAGAATACACTGTAAAGTGAATTGACTGTATATTTTGTGGGCGAAACGTACGTTGGATGATACGTTCCTCCAGTCTGCTTGTTCAGGTGAATATTAAAAGATGCCGTCGTGCTATTCGAAAAGAAAAGTTTGCTCCCAGTTCCCTGGCCAATCCGACTAAATTGATCATTCAGGTCGGGGCTGTTTGTGGGATCTTGCTGTGTGCAAAATGGTTGTTGTCTTTTCCTACAAGTACAGTCGCTACTCTTGACAGCAATTGCCTGTGAAGTGCTTTGAGAGCTTTGAGGTTATAGGCAAGGATTATTATTATTTCCTTGAGACTTCCTTTAAACTGCCTTTACAATACAGTACAAAATTACATTTGTATATCGCCTTGGGGAGGACGTCCCAAGGTGCTGGATAGTCAGGGATTTGGACATGAGCAGGAAACTTTTACCCACAATTTTGTCAATTGAAATTTTACCTGCTAGGAAAAAGTTACCTACAAGATTTCAGAGCCTCCTTTACCATATGGTGTACCTTCAGAAGCTCTAACATATTCAGATTGGCCTCCACCCACCTCCAACTGCTCACTCTCATCCTTTAATACCTTTAATACCTCTTGAAACTGAAGCTGGAGCACAGATCTGCACTCACATTCATGTGCATTATCCGAGCAGCTTCCCTTTTTTCTTTGATGGTTTGAAAAATTGCAAACTGTACCCTTTTTTCCGCTTTAGCTAAACTATTTCAATATTGGAAAGAGATTGGAATAAAAGAGGTGAAAGTTGGCTGGTAAGAAATTGTGTTGGCCTTGCAGAGTGTATTGCCTGCTGCTGGAATCTCCTGTAAAAGTGTAGTCAGTGGCGTTTTATTCCCTGTTGTATCAGGAGGTGGTGTTTACGATTATTTTATGTAAGGAAACCAATTGTGGTCCCCTTTGCCGGTTACAGTAGATGAATTTTGCATTTGAAAGTATCCTAGGAAAGATTAGTTTTTATGATAATTATATAAAATAATTGCAGGGTTCTGAACTTTCAAGTTTATCTGCGTGGTTTCCTGAGGACCTCATGGAAGCTGATTAGAAATAACACATTGAGTTTGGTATTGTTTGTGTAGTCATACACAGTGGATCACTGTTAACTTGCAATTATTGTCNTTTTTTTTTCAATCTCTCTTAATTCTTTCCTCTCCTGTCAGTGCTGCCCACCGGTACTGCCCCCATCGTGATTATTCTTCACTCGAAAGCTTAGCTGGTTAGTTATGACAGGCAAACAGCCAAGTCCCAATCCTGGCCTCCACACTTCTGCATTTTCCAGCAAGAGACACGGGATAGTGATTGGGACCAGAAATCCGGGTCCATTTCCCTTCTCACTTCCTCTCCACAAAATCACGTCCGTTGAGTCGAATTGTAGCACCCGTTGCTGAGATCAGAGTCGGAGTCCTGTAGCTCAGTGGTTAGAGCATTCGCCTTGCAAGTGAGAGGATTTGGGTTGGATTCCCGGGCAGGGCGAAACATTGGGCAAGTTTCCTTATTCCACACACCTCTGTTTACCGAGCAGTCAGTAGGAACTCCGTTGATAGTCGATTGGCGGGTGGCTTTTCTGGGGTAATAATTCTTTCCAAAAAAAAATAATAAATTGGTCACTTTAATCCACGACTGTATTTTGCACCGCTGGTTGTTGTGTTTCGCCCACAAACTATACAGTCAATTCACTTCACAGTGTATCCTGTGAAGCGCATTGAGACGTCTCGAAGACGTGATAAGGCGCTATATCAAATGCAAGGATTATTATCATTATTCAACTCTGGAAATCGAGCCCATTCTTTCGTGGGCTTTTTTATCCAAATCTCAGATATGTGTTTTACGTTTGTAGGCAAACTCAGCGGCAATTAGCACACAGCAAACCCCCACAAACAGCCACGACACGAATGCCAACAACAACGACACCAGAGCACTGCAAATAAGCACAAAATAGAATCTACTGGGGTACAGGGTTAATTGTAATCAGAGTCAATATCGAGTTGAAAATATTCTGCTGGGAGCTGGGTGTGAATTCCAAAGGGATTTCCAGGATCTTCAGGAGTGAAACATCAGTGTGAAGCACCAGAACTCAGCGACTTGGGATTTCCTCTTCATGTGAAAGCCGCTGTGTAAATGCAGTGTCTTGTTGTTGTTCCTACTGACTGCTAAGTAAACAGAGGCATGTGGAGTAAGGAAACTTACCGAGGGTTTCGCCCTGCCTAGGATTCGAACCCGGGTCCCCTCGCTTGCGAAGAAGTGCTCTAACCAACGCAGATCAAAATGGTTGAAGGGACCTTCCTCATCCGAACTTCTCTTGTGACCTTCAACACACATGGGGAGAAAATCCACCTGGCCCTAGATTTACTCTGTTAATGTCAAAGCGTCAGGAACTTGACAAAAATTGTTGCATTCGGTCTTAACTTTGAAGCACTTTTTCCTGTAGCTCTTAAAAGAAACCTACAGAAAACTGGCTTCAACATTAAGACTGTATTTAAGAATTTGCCAAATTTTGTTGCCTCTGAAACACTTTGTAAATAGAGTAAATCTAGGCCCAGGTGGAATTTCTACCCCGTAAACATTGAAGGTAAAGACAGGGTAGAAAATTATGGGTTTGCTCATGATCTGTATACAGCCCAGTGGGTTTCATCTAGCATTTAAATCTGCTTCACCAGAATATTTTGCTGAATGTGTGCACGTGTATATTAGAGAAATCACTCACTCAAATATGTTTATTGAAGTCGCCTGCAAATTTTAAATTGGTTCAAAATACTGCTTGGTTTTCATTTTGCTTCACTGAGCATTCCTCGGGGAAGTATTGTTTCATGTTTACAATCCAGTGATTGAGCTTTTATACTTTTGCTCTTTTATTCTTACCTATTCCTCCCCCTCTCTTCCCCCCCTCACCCACCCCCCACCTTGCTTCCTCCTTTTATTTCTGAATAACAAGCATGTTATGTTCTTCTCCAGTACCAGCATGGCTGAGAATACCTGCTTTAGTGATTAAAACCTGGGCAATTGTGCATTAGCCCCACGAGCGAGCTGTGTGCTGGGCACCCGAACGTTGATCGCTTCTGAGCCCCACTGACTTTCACCCCTTCGCACTTATGCCTGGATTTTCGTTCAAAAGTGTCACAAGCTTTGGGGTGGTGACCGTAGGCACGATCCAAGAGGAAGGTCTTCAGAGAGGATTTGACGACGGGCAAGAAGGAGGCAAGACGGAGGGATTGGGGCAGAGAATGACGTAGTTTGAGAGGCCTAATGGATGAAAGCGTGGCCGCTGATGGTAGAGAGGAGGGATGTGTAGGAGGCTGGAGCCAGCTGAGCTCAGGCAGTGGGGTGTGGAGTGGGGTGTGAGGAAGCCGGAGGGGTGGGGAGATGCCAGGGCGTAAAAGGATTTGTACGCAAGTTTGAGGAACTTGAAATCGATCTGTTCTGCAATCGGGAGCCAGTGGAGCGTAGCAAGGACCGGGGTGATGGGGAAGCGGAGTTTGGTGCGGGTGAAGATGTGAGCGGCAGAATTTTGAATCAGTTGGATTTTATGAGCGGTGGAGCTGGGGAGGATAATTTGGTGCCAAAATGCCTTCCAGCAAGTAGGGGGACAAACCAGTGTCGAGTCTCTTATAAATTAGACTTTTTTGATTTTTGATTGCTGTCGGCGCCGCTCGAGGCAATGAACAGACTAGTTATTAAAATCGCATTAACATTCATCCTTTCTCTTACTCGGCGAAGCTGCCCTACTTTTAAAGTGCAACACTAATCGGTAGCCCTCACCAAATAAATATGTTCTGCAGGGATTCTCCTCGAATGGCAGCGGTGGGGGGGGGTGGGGGCGTGTATTTGAAGCGGGAATAAATAAAGTGTTTGATCCTTCGCCGCAACTGTTCTGTGACAAATTTAGGTTTCTGTAACTTGGCATTTTGCTCCAGTTGGGCCATCTTCCTTTAAGTGTTCCTGTGATTGATGTCATATCTTTGATATCTTCCATTAGCCTCCAGGACCGCTAAGTTCAAGGCCCGCTTGGAACCTGAGGAGCCCTGCAGAGGAGCTGAGGGCCTTCCGAGTCCTCGGGGTGATTGACAAGGTAATTCTTCAACATCACTTCAAGGCTTCAGCCATAAATCAACCACCAGCTGAGATTGTAGCTTTGAAGCTATTGGTTTTGACGGTTTATGAAACAAAAGAAAAAATGAACTTGGTTTTGTCTGCACTTCACAGGAACAGAGGGGGCAGGAAGGGGTTTGTTTAAGCGGGATTTGTAAGGTCACCTACTCGTGTGCCGGGCGCTGCAGATTAAAGGGAGGAATCAGACTTTTCTCTTTTTCTAAGGGGGGGAAAAAAAAATCGCATTTAAAATTGAGTATTTCTGTTGAGATAAAAAAGGTCCTCTACAAATAAACTCCCCGCCTCCTCCAGAAATGCTGCAAGTGCTTTTGTTCTGTTAGTGATGTGGGAAAGGAGGGATTGCGGAAGTTTTTAGCCTCTCCTGCACCAGGCTTTGTGAGCCCCTCGACAACTGCAGAGCCTCTCTCAAGACTGGAATGGAGGACATAACGTCCCAGCCAGGCGATCTTTCTGTTTAATCACGTGACCTGTTATTTGTGGGGGGAAAGGGAATAATAATTGTAATTTAGAAATTATGGTCTGATAGTATTGGAGTAATAATCAAAACAGTGTCATCCTCGCATTTGATAGAGCGCCATTCGTGTCGGGGTGGGGGTGTGGGGGAGGTGTCTCAAAACGCTTCATGGGATTTACTGTGAAGTGGAGTGACTGCGTATTTTGTAGGGAAGCTCAGCAGCCAATTTGCACCAATTTGTCCCACCGGTAGCCGTGAAGTGAATGAACGTTTTATCCGGGGGATTGTTGGCCGGGAGAAATACTGGGAGAAATTCATTTCAAATAATGTCGTGTTCACCTGAACAGACAGGGATCTTCAGCAGCCACTTTAACCGAACGACGGCAGCTCTAACAACGTGAGTTCAAAATCCCGACTCCCTTGTGACTCAGAGACAAGAGTGCTGCTAACTGAGCCAGGCTGGTGCTAACCAACTGAGCAAGGCTGGTGCTAACCAACTGAGCAAGGCTGGTGCTAACCAGCTGAGCAAGACTGGTGCTAACCAACTGAGCCAAGGCTGGCACCTGAGTAATTTGTGATTTAAATAAGAAGGTGCTGCTGACGAATGTGTACGAGACGAGGGTGTAGATGATCAGGGATTGTCCTCAGCTCCTGTATCACAACAGAGTTCCTTTTGCCAAAATTTTAAAAAGTGAAACCCACTCGACCCTCGGCAAAGAAGTGCGAGAGGAGAAACCTGCGTCTGGTGTTCCCAGCCTCCCAAGGTGACTTTCCACGAGTTTGGCCTGAAAGGGCAGGTTGTTGTTGCTGTTCTTTTCTAGGACCTGGCACTCGATGCTCCAGCCGTTCCTGGATAATCCTGACAGTGTGCGAGGCAGAAAATGGAAATTTCTTGGCGCCTATTAAGGCAAAATAGAATTTCCAGCTGGATAGCCGAACTCAATTTGCCTGTTCGCACCTGTTTGCCGTTCTTCTCAACTATTGATGGTTAGCAGTGCCTCTTTCTCCCCGCGCCCCCCCCCCACTAGCAATGTGTGTTTTTATCTCTTGTTTACAATTCTACATATTTTGCAGGAATGCGACTCTCTTGTAAAAGCAAACTCGGGGCCCTGAGAGCCTGTGAGTGCCCACTCATTTGTCGAGAGGAGTCTTTATTGAGTGACCTCGCACTAAAGCAGACGCAGATCTGCCAAACCATATTAATTTTCTTAAGCACTCGCACAAATTATGTTGTTCTACGGAGACCAGTCCTATTCCTGAGGGGTCCGTCTTCAAACGAGCTATTGGAGTGAATCATTTTCAGACGCTTCCTTTTCCAATTTAACACGGGAAGTGGCATCGAGTAAATTACAAAGCAAAAAAGCCTGACTCTTAAATTAGCTGCTGACAGCGGCGTTAACTCTTCACATGCCTGGAATCTGTCGCTGGAATCGGCCACACTTCTGGCCTGTGCCGAAGGGAGATGTTTAAAAACATTACTCCTCTTCAAACCGGCCAGGGTTTTCTGCAGTACCTGCTTGCCTGGAACCATTTTGGTTTAAGTTGCTTCCTTACTGAACCTCGCGTTCAAATTCTCCAGAAGGGATTGCTTCAATTCATCAGCTATTGCCCCTGAAAGCACCTTCCTGCTTCCCGCTCTGTCTTCAAACAGATTGACATTGTGGGCTACATTTGGAAGTTATGCCATTCAGTGTTGGTAAAAAACACATTCGGCAGCAAGGCCGGCACTCTTGGGAATTCAGTTACTCAATTCAATAGGAGCACGAGAATGAGGATTATGATGGTATTGTACTTTCCTGCACATTACTGGGTTTCTTCTTGTAGTGATTTATTTTAATTGCGGTGTAAAGTGGTTGAATTGAGTCATTAAGTGCCAGTCGCGTGCCTCCCAGGCAGCACAGTATTAGCCCATTTGACATTCTCTGTTATAATCTTCTGAGTTGAGTGCGGTGTGGCAGCCTGCGATTTCAAAGAACTTAAGGAATGTCAGCTGGCTTGTCAGTATTTCTGTTTAGTCTTTAGTCTTTTCGATCTTTCTCCTTTTGCTCGCCGTCGACTATAACGTTGGCCCTCGTGTGATGTGGTTACGGGGTGGGTTTGGGTGACCTTCCTTAAACTTGCCCTTTTCGCCTGGCACGTTCAAAAATGTGTTTCCCCTCTGCTGGAGTCTGCTTTCACCCTGTTGCCTTTTTTATTTTGAAATGCTAGTGCCTTGAAGATGCCCTACAGCACCTTAGGGACAAACAGCTGGTGAACCCTTAGGGCATTGGGATTGGGCTGGTGTTGGGTTAGGACCTTGAATTTGAAGTCATTAACATGTTTGAGAGAACTTATTCATGCAACAATTTTTATCCCGTGCCCTGCATTTGGAAAAATGTGACTTGTGTTCACTACATACAGAGAGTGTTTCTGGTTGAATGTTGGATATCTGACCGTGTGCAAAGCCAGGCATGGTTTATTTTGTTTGAATACATGTTCCATAATTTGGCCATTCGAGGTGCTGGGTAAATTCAAGCCTAACGTTTGGGCGTTGACCTTCAGCCCGGCTCAGCCGGTAGCATTCTCGCCTCTGAGGTTGTGCGTTTTGAGCCTTGTTTTGGGACTTATCCAGGCTGACCCTCCAGTACAGTACAGGGCTGGTGAGAGGTTCTGCCCTTTGGATGAGATGTTAAACCATTAACATCAACGAAGCCTAGTCACCATTAAGGCCTGTTCAGATTGACGTCAATGATCCCATTGACACTTTAGAAACGAGAAGCAAGTCTCTGCTGGCGTCGTGGCGGCTAACAATCCCGTAGATAAAATTGGTCATTCACTTCATGGCTGTTTGCAGGATATTGCAGGCTCTCTTTTCGGTCATCTCTCACCTCTCCACACCCACCCCCAGCTCAGATGCCAAGCCATTATTGTTAAGTGTTGTTCTGCGATGCTACCTTGCATGAAGGGCGCTATATAAATGCAAGTTGTTGTTGTCGAAGGGTCTCCCGACAAAAAAGGCGCTATAGATAAACATCAATAAACATCAATTGTACAATTATTATACATTTACTACACTTGGCAGTAAAATCCTTCAAGGAGATCCTTCAGTGACACAAATCTCTGCATCAAATGCCAGGATATTATTTACAGAAACATCTTAGAAATGATGAGCCTTTCGTGGCTCAAAGCTTCTTCTTATCCCTCCAAGCGGATCAACCTGCGTTGAACATGACTGCTCAGCGCATTTATTTATGACACAAATTGTATTTTAATTTTCAATTGTGTTGTCGTAACATTGCTGGATTGAAACAATGCTACTGAAATAATAGATGGTTCTGCGTTGGTGCATTTTTCTCTAACGGTTTTATCCTTAAGGCCATTGAGTTAAAATACAAAATTGTGCGCAATTTGGGGAAATTCTTACTTTCAGGCTTAATTTTGCGAGACTGTTTTTCGCAGTTTGTTTTGAAAACAGGTTTCTAACTTAAAACTGCATTTAAAACTTGCCCGCCCTGCCCCCCACCCCACAATTCTGCACAATGTTAAATTTCAAGACCATGGTCTCAAGAGGAGTTTGTGGCCTCGGCTCGCAAAAGGAATAGGTGTAAATCCGGTTGCAATCTTGGACATGCAGCTATCCATTAGAAAAAGCGAACACCTGCGCATTTTGATTGTATTTGTTTAAGCATGTCTCCTCATCGACTGTGCTTTCGATCACCCTCCTCCGCCCAGCCCCCCTCCCCCGCTCTCCACCCTCCCCAATCCCGATGCGCCCCCCACCTCCCCCCACCCCAGCTCAGGTCCGAAACGCTAACTGTCCAGCGCCTTGGGACGTCCTCCCGACGTGAAAGGCGCTTTACACATGCACTCTTGTTGCTTTTATACATGTCTATGATATATCTATTATGTATCCTCTTAGGAGAGAAGATTACAGTAATACACTACTTTTTTTAAAAAAAGTATGATGTTCCTCTCGATGTGGTTCAAGTATTTAGTAAAATGCTGCTTTACAACTACATTAAAAGGGTAGTTCAATTAGCACCGTCAGATGTATGATTTACACAGTGTGGCCTTCAGCTGCTCAGTGCAGCATGTGGTGCAGTCTTCAGTGCACACAGCATCCGCTCTGATTTTTAAACCACGATCCTGGAATTCAGCTAATTTCTTGTTCAACCAATTTCTTGTCATTGTATCTCAACGCTGGAGCGGTATTAACTTCTGACTCATTCTGCTGTAGGTTTTTTTTTATTTACCTTTTGCGGGTCTCTATCTTTTTTCCCCCCCCCCCAGCAGTTTCCCTAATCTTCTCCGTCTTAACTTTCGATTTGATTTTCTTTTCCGCCAAAGACACTTGACTCATTTGGTAACCTTTCAGGAGGTCTCCTCCGGCACCTTGCCCACCTGGGCATTCTTCACACCTGTGAGCCCAGGCGACGAGTGTTAGGTGGCTGTTTGACCATGAAAGGCATCGTGGCCAAGTCTATTTCTATCTTTACCCAAGATCCACATGTCCTACTCTTTCTATTGGAAAGTCAGTGATATCAATGGCAAGCTGTGTGGTTTTAGCTGTTTAGACTCCAGCAGTTATCCCAATGCACACTCTGGGGTCCACCCAAGCCTTGGCTCCTGCCAACCTGCGCCGAATATTTTCTGGGATTATATACTCAGTCTGCGTCCCTTCAGGGAGAGAGAGCGCATTCCATTCCAACAACCTATCTCTGAGATTCCCGTGTGCAGGTGGGATGCATGGAATTCTCAGCTCGGCTTGGAGACTCTTAAGCAACGCTGATGGGTTTAGGATTGTAACCAGGCTGACCCCAAAACACAAAATTCTATTGCGTCACTAGATACCCTTAAAAGAAATAATGATTTGGTCACTCAATCCATGACTGTTAGTGGGACACTGCTGTGCGCAATTGTGAGCAGGAACCCGAGCAGAGGTTTGCTCTTTTTTTCTCCCCCCACCCCCCCCACCCCTCCTCCCTAGCTCGGGGCCCTGTGGCCAATTGTGGCACTACTACTGCTAACTCATCACTGATCGGGGATTGAACCTGTGACCTTCATGTCGGTACAGATCAACTCCGACTGAACAGTGAACGGAGAGGAAGAGGGTGGGAAGAGAGGAATGTCTTTTTACTGCTTTGTCTGCCGTTTTCCTCTGCTGATTTGCATTTTGATTTGTCCTTATGACTCTAGACTTTTTATTTGGGGTTCCCGGCTGTTAGGAAAGTTTGTTTCAAACTACAGTGAATTTAACTCTTATTGAACAATTAACTGTATTTAACAGTTAACGCTGTTTAAAATCGGGGGAAAAAATTTATTTTTATTTTACTTCCTTTGTAGAGATAATCTTAAAACCAGTATTGCATTAAAGTACCTCTGGCATTATTTTGGTCCAAGTTGACTGTTTGTGTTCATTGTTTTCGGGGAAGAGTGTGGGTGAGGGGGATGCTGGCGAGAGAGGGAAATTGCTTTCAGTGAAAGAGAAAATTGTTAAGTGGTTGAAGTATTTTATCTAAATAATATATTTGACATTAATAGTATGAAATGCTGAAAGTGCATTTGCCAGTGATAGGTTTTAAGGTGTACAGCTGGAGGTTAGGAAAATTGACATCAAGGTGAATCATAATTAGTTCCATGGGCCATTCACCTCGTGGCTGTTTGTGGGATCCTGCGGGTATAAATAGTCGCTGAGTTTACCAACAGAAGTGGTCGCTCTGTCCGAGAGCAAATCATTTGCTGAGCAGTTTCACCTTGGGTGCTGTAAAAACAAAAGCTCTTTGCTTTCTCGTAATGGACAGTAACAGATTTGGCTGGGTGATACCCTAAGCTAACTGGGGGGAAAAAAAAGCACCACATCACACAACACTCCAGACATCCCACCGTAGCACACAGCAACAACAGCAGCAACTTGCGTTTATATAATATCCTGGAGCTCTTGACACCATGTCACCCACGCACTCATAAGGGCAAAATATTTTAATGACAAGCTTTAATAATAATAATAATAATCCTTGCATTTGATACAGCGCCTTATCACATCTTTGCTTTCTAAAGACTTTACCTTCTTCTTCACCCCCCCCCCCCCCCTCACACTTCCTCCACGGCCTGCCCTCCCGCCCACCCGCCCCATGGAAAGTGCTTGCTGCACGGGGGTAGATCATTTAAAAACGCAGAATTACTGCGCATGTGTTTACATCATCGGCCACCAGTCAGGTCAGGCAGATCCCAGCTGTGTCTCTTGTAACCTGACTCGGGCTGGACTTGGCAGACCAAACCTTCCTGTTTTAGTCAGTAAGTTTCTGGATGCTGCGTAGCTGCAGATTTAAAGAAGTAAAAGTGATTAAATATGACATTGAACAGATGGAGACCATCTACCAGCTCGCCGTATCTGGCTCTAATTATATTATCATTGGTTTCGCCTGCCTTAGAGGAGCTGTTTCCAGGGGCTGATTTACAGTCATTTATAAAACACCTGTTTGGGAAAACTGTCTGCTGATGGCCAATTTTTACATGCAAAAAAAAATCATCGCAGATGTGCTTTCTTCGTGTCAGCACACTGTAAATGTTCTTAAGGTTTAATTTTACGCTTTAATTCAAGAGCAACAGAGTGAGGGGGAGTGGGTGGGTGGGGGGGGGGAGAGAAATATTGGTGCATATATCTGTGTGTCTCTACTTCCTTCCCACCCCCACACCATTCAACCTTTTCTTCCCGTTTTGATGTACGGAAGTGGGTGGGTGGGTGAGGGGGTAGGGAGGGGGGGAGTGAGGGGTGGGGCGGGTAGGCGGAGGGGGAGAGTGGGGGCGGGGAGTGAGGGGCCACGGGTAGGCGGGCGTGGGGGTGGTGGAGATGGAAGTAAAGGTTGGATTGCTGCTGGGTTTCCCGATAGGACTAACCTCTCCGGGTTTCCAGAAGCCAGAATTACGCTAGTTTCCCTGAACTGACTAAATTGACTTTTAACTCAGGTCTTAAATGTTTTCAAGCTGTTGTGACAATGTGACGTGCCGGCGCGAAACCTTCCCTTTGCTCGGCTTGCAATGTGTCAGCCTGCGTCATGTGTGTTGGCGAGGACGTGATTATAACATGAACTTTTGACTTTGTTCCTGAAGGTTTTACTTGTCTTGGATTCCAGAACACAGGAGACCTGCGTTTTAAAAGTAAGCCCGATCTTCATTCATTCATTCATTCTTTTTAAACCTCCCTCCACCCCCCCAAAAAAAATCTTTCAAACCGATCGCTTTTTTTTCTCCAAACTGAAATGATTTCAAAAGTAACTTCTCTTTCCTGTACATCAGATGATGAATTGTAGATGTCAAGCCTCTCCTTAATTTAGCTGTATTTCCAGTGTCCCTTTTCCTCTTCCCCTCCCCACTCAAAAAAAAAAATTGCTCTCTGCTTGTCTTTGCTTTGCCACTCTAAAAGGAGGAGGAGGGAGGTGGGGGGGGGGAGTGGGGGAGCGAGAGCAACTTTAAAGCCTCCTCCACTGGCTGAGACCAGTGAGTTTTCCATTTGCTTGCTAGCAACGAACCCACCTGCCTGCGAGTGAGAAAGTGCCATGTCCTTACTTAGCTCTGGCTTCTGGTCGCGGTGGCCACCCTGAAACATGCATGGTGGGTTATGATAATTATCACCCTGGGCGGTTTTGCGCTGTTTCGGGGGCTGGCTTAATTCAGAAACGCTTGTGGATAGATGCCGGGAAGATTATTTTTACTCCTGAGGGTAATTAACGACTGGAGCAGGTTGCTGGGAAGGATGGTTGAGGACAGGGCACTGGACTCATTTAAATAAAAAGCAGCTTGATGCTGTGATAGGGCGGTAGGGTGTGTGCTCTGGAGGAATGAGATCAGGTGGGTTGAAGGGCTTTCTCCAAACATGGTTAAGACTTGACCCGGGAACTCAATTAGGGTGCTTGGCGGGCTGGTAACTGTAGTGGCAGTGGGCAGCCCAAATATTGTGCTATTGCTCGGGGGGTGGGGGAGGGAAGAGGTGGACAGATTGCCCGTTCAGGTCAGCTGCTATATTTATAGCCTCGACAGTAACTTTCGCAACCCAATCGTACAATTGTCACCCTGAGAAGTGATCAGCCCATGTCGTAGTGGGTTGAAGGCATCAGATTGTTTCATGTAGCTTGTGTGTTATTTGGACTATCATGTATTAACCTCTTGAAAAAAAACTATTTTGGTTGCTCAATCCACGACTGTTTGTGGGGACGCTGCTGTGCGACATTGGCTGCTGTGTTTCGCCCACAAAATATACAGTCAATTCACTTTACAGTATATTCTTTGAAACGCTTTGAGATGTCTCGAAGACATGATCAGGAGCTATATCAAACACAAGGATTATTATTATTTTTATTAAATGGAGGGGGAGGGGAGTAATGGTACCATTGACTCAAGATAATTGTATCACTGAATCGAGCACAAGTCTACATTAAACAAGATGGGGGTGGGGATGAGAGGGGTGGGGGGGAAGGACTGGAAAGCATAGCGGATTAAAACCCTGTACTTTCACCAACGAAAAACCTGGATTTAAATCCAGCTCAGCTCAGACAGATGGGCTGGAAGCCTCTCTTTTCTCTGACAGCTGTTAAGGGTCCTAAGTGAAATTAATTTGGGCAATCCCAAGCCAGTTCCCAGTGGCCTTAAGAACTGCCCATAATTCATCATTAATTGACATTAATTGGGCAATGTCAAGCTAAAACGATGCCTTGAGGGTGGCTGGCTTGAGTGGTTGAGATGTTGTACAGGTGCCGAAATGGGGGTGTTCTTGTCGATTTGGGAATTAAGAGATATCACTGAAGTGGACCAGAGGGAATTCATTATGTATCGCATTCCGCTTGATCTCGGAGAGCCCAACATTGACACTTGGGTGAAGGAGTAACCATTTGCATATCCCATCATGGCCCCTTACTAACATTTAGTTTTTTGGGTNGGGGGTGGTGTGGACGGGAGAAGGAAGCCAGGAGAATTAGTAACTTGTTATGGTAAAAGATAATCAGGCTTAAGTTGACTTTGTTTTTAGCTCCCCTAACGGTTGAGGTTCTGAGCCTTACAAGTTGCCGTGTGGAGTCACGTCATTTCACTTTCTGGAGCACTTTGTGATTTTGCTAAGGTTGACCTCCGCCCCTTTGGGCTAGGGAGGGTGATTATAATCAGACTGCGTTCCTGCTCCTGGTTGCCATTCGCACTCCTCTGCTGGAAGACGTGAGTGTGTTGATGTTGGAGGACAGGGATAGGGCTCAGTGTGGTTTCCCCTGGGGTTGACATGGCCCACAAAAGCTCTTGTTTTGAGGCTTCCATGTAGGTGTGGAGCCACTTGTGTAAGTCACTGTGCCGGGGAGAGGCAGAGGCGACACCTGCTGTCAGTGGAATTTTGCCCCTCGAGGATAAAGAAATCCAAACCCCTCCAATGGGAGTTAAAAATTGGTTGCTTGGGGGTGGTGGTGTGTGGGGGGTGGGAATAGTTATCTAGATTTTAGTTTTATAGCAAAATATTTAATGCATTGCGTGGTATTTAAACATTACAGATTTAATTACCTGATAATGTCGTAAGTAGAAAGGTATACCAGTAGAATAACAGTAGATTCCCAGCAGGTTTTCAAACGAGCTGGAAATCAGGGTCTGAAGTCCAAGAGTATTTGGGCTGTCCTCCCAATGTGAAAGCCGCAATCTTTGCAGAGCTGTGCAACGCGTTTATACAAGCTCTCCAGCTCCAGCTGGTTAAACTCCGGCAGTTTCTTCCCCCTGCCCCCACCTCAGTGTAACACTCTGGGATTGCTCAAACCCCTTGGCCATCACCAACCTGCTCCTCACACTCACGGTATTAGTGGAGTAAGGAGCGTCCCTCCAGTGAGAGAGTTTGCATTCCACGTGTAGGTTGCACATAGGTGTGGAACTCTGTCTGGTTTGGCTACTCTTAAGCATACTGACAGGTATCATCTGTATGTGTGAAATGCCTGGCTGACCAGAAAAACGATGGCACTTTTGGGAAATTTATTACCAAATCTGACAGTTTCCCAGCTCCCAGTGTATCCGATCAACACGACGTTAAAGCTGAACACGTTGGAAACTATTTGTTTCATGTTGTTGAGGTAAGACTTGAGACGCGGTGGCTTGAGCTGGCCTGTGTAGCCTTGTGGTAGCAGCATGGGTTCACTGACAGATGCTCACTGCCTTCAGTTCCAGGACTGCCTGACACCTCAGGTGTGCAAGTGGTCCTGCTGTTCTACTTGTGGAGGTTGATAGCTTGCAGGCCTGAGGATTGCCTCCATCACCACATCACCTGGGCATGAAAATTGCCCTCTCCTGCCACGTCTCGCCTCACTTAAAGCATTTTCCGCTAACTGGTCATGAAACAATAATAATGATTGGATCTCTCTTGCTTCGTCTAATTGTGAGTGAGTGAGTGTGTTTGTGTGTGTGTGAGTGAGTGTGAGCGTGTGTGTGAGAGTGTGTGTATGAGTATGTGTGTGTGTATGAGTAAGTGTGAGTGTGTTTGTGTCTGAGTGTGAGTGCGTGTAAGAAAATGAAGGAGAGACTAATAAAAACATTGATCCATGTAATTGATTCTAGCGGCAGCTCAGTGCCACCTTCAATGTGCTGGACAGTCGTCAGGTGCCATCATTGAGGCCGTGGAGGAGTCAGGACAGAGGGCAGCGAGCGGGGCTTGGCGATGGTTTTTCAATGCTCAGAACAGAGCGAATAGATTAGTCTGTTGGGGAAGCGCGAACGCAGCACGTTCCAAAGCAGCAGAGCGCACGACTGACCTTTCTCTTCTCTGTCAGGGTCTGAGGAAAAGCAGCAAGTGCAGCAGGAACAGAAAGACCATCATCCCCCACTGTGTGCCCAACATGGTGCGGCTGAGGAAACACATCATCTCCGAGGACACCATATTCCTGTTGCTGCACTATGCCGAAGGTGTGTGTTTCCACTAATTGGGCTTCTCCTTCANTTTTTTTAAAAAGAGGAAGCCAATTTCTGGCACGTGTGTGTGAGACTGTAACTGCTTTACAGCTTTTTTTTGAGTTGCACCTTTCAGTTAAAAGGGTAAAATAATCATGCTTATTAACGTTTAAGTAGATTCCCTGCGAACAGAGATCCTGCGCCTACATGTGCGAGGCGGCAACAACAAGTTACACGTGTGCAAATGACATCGATGCAGAATGTGTGGCTGTTCTGTCGAGGAAATTTCTCTTTCGGAAAATCGCTAGCCAGCATTCTACGTCCTGTGTAGGTGGCATGTGTAACTTTTCCTTTAATTAGTTGCCGACATGCTCCTCGAGATGTTCCGACATAACGGGACGCTTCAAAACTGCCAGCTCTTTCTTTTCTAACCCGGTTTCAGCATTTATACACAATTTAAGGCCCACATGATTTCCCAAAGCTCTGTGACAGCTCCAGCACTCAAAACAAAGAAGAAAAGGACTTTGTGATTGGGAACTCTTTTCCTCAATGTTATTGTGAAGGATTGTTCAGGAACAATGTGTAAATGCAGGAACGAGAGGGAAGGAAGAGGGAGGAAGAAAGAGAGAGAGCGAGAGATCACGAGAGCGAGAGAGAGAGAGAAAGCAAGGAAGGAAGGAAGAGAAAGAACTTGTAGTGTTTGGTGTCAGCGAAGTCGATTAAATATCATTGAAATGAATCACTACTCAATCTAGGGGATTGTTAATAATAACAGTACTAATAATAATCCTTGCCTTTGATATAATGCCTTATCACGTCGTTGAAACGTCACAGTCTCAAAGCGCGTCGCGGGATATACTGTGAAGTGGATTGACGGTGTATTTTGTGGGTCAAACGCGGCAGCCAATTGCGCACAGCAGCGTCCCACAAACAGAGGTGGATTGAGTGACCAGGACACCGGAAGGCAATCCTTATCTTTTCGGACTGTATCGTGGGATCTTTAACGGTCCGCCTCTCTGAACAGACAGGCGAGGTCTCGGTTTATTGTCTCAACTGAAGGATGGCACCCTGTCATTGTGGTGCTCCTCCACCAACACATCTGAGTGTTCGCCTGGGACCAGTGATTCATTCCATTAATTGCACCGATATTGTAGTCAGGCTAATGGGTCTGAAGTTGTCAGGCTCTTCCCTGTCCCCAGGCACAGGTAAATGATCATTTCAAAAATGTATATGCACTTGTCCTTTGCTTGGGGTAGACCTTACCATTCATTCACTGGTATTTTTCTGGCCATGCTGTGATATATAATTAGAATCTGAGCACTCCACTCGGTCCCAAGTGAAGTATTTGACCACCATTATGTAGCCCAGGTTTGAGTTCTGTTAGCATTCAGAGAGAGGAAGATGGTTATCGTGTTATCTGCCCACAGTCCATTAGATGGGGAATCTACATGTTCTGTAGTAATGAGCTCAGTAAGAGTGGAGAGTAAGAGTTTTTTCAACTGCACTGAAAAAATTGTATCTCTTTTCATTTGATGGTGTCCTGTAGCTCAGTGGTTAGAGCACTCGCCTCGCAAGCCAAAGGACCTGGGTTTGATTCCCGGGCAGGGCAAAACCTTACCCAAGTTTCCTTACTCCACACTCACGCTCTGTTTACCTAGCAGTAAGTGGGAACCTGGTTGTTCGTTGATTGGCGGATCGCTTTCCGGGGGTAATAATCCCTCCAAAAATAAAATAAATAATAATAATTTGGTCACTCAATCCACGACTGTGTGTGGGACACTGCTGTGCGCAATTGGTTGCCATGTTTCGCCCACAAAATATATGTCAATTCACTTTGCAGTATATTCTGTGAAGAGCTTTGAGATGCCTCAACACAGTAATAATCACTAAATCAAATGCAAGGATTATTATTACTATTATTATCTGATACTAGAATACACACTCCCATTGCTCCCAGCCTCGCCAAGCTTCTCAGACTTCCATACCTCAGCCGATTGACTAAGATCCTCGTTTTTGACCTTCAAACTTCCTCCCTAACCAAGCCATCTCCTTCAGCCCTATTGCTCTCTGCCGTTCTGATCTACCATTCATCCCCCACTGCTTCCAGCCCACCATCGGGTGTCCGAGCTTTCAATTACTTTGCCCTGACTCTTAATTTTCTCCCCAAATGCCTTCTCTCTCCGTCTTCAAAGCCATCCTAAAAAAACTCTCATTTACTCCGCCTTTTAGCCGACACCATTAACTTCTCTTTCCTCTCCTCCCCACTGAAGGCTCTCAGTGAAGTACTTGGAAATATTTGTTCTACAGTTATGTAAATGCACTTTGTTGTTGGCTGTTGTTGATACGGACCAGTTTTGAGAGGGAGGGGTGAGGGGCTGGCTGAGAGGAATGTTACAGGGCAATCCTGTTCTTACTGCAAGAAGTCCTCAGTGGTTAGAGCTCTCGCCTCGCAAGCGAGAGGACCTGGGTTCGATTCCCGGTAGGAACTGTTTATTCAGCAGTGAGTAGGATCGTGGATCGCTTTTCTGGGGATAATAATCTCTTGAAAATAAATAATAATAATTTGGTCACTCAACCCACGGGGACGCTGCTCTGCGCAATTGGCAGCCGCGTTTCACCCACAAAGTATACAGTCAATTCATTTTACAGTGTATTCTGTGAAGCGCTTTGAGACGTCTAGAAGACGTGAAAAGGCGCTGTATCAAATGCAAGGATTATTATTATTATAGAAGCAACACTGATGTCATTGCCGTCATGAAGTCGTGTCAACAATTTTTCCTGCGCAGGGAACAGCAAATCATGTTTGTTGTTCATTTCTTTTTTTTTTGAAGCCGGTATTGATGGCAGTTCCGATTAACCTCAGATCCACAGGGGGCACCCACTTCAAAAGCGAGTTTGTCGACTCGTAAGGTGCTTGATAACAGGGATGTTGCATTTCTTGCTGACAGAGACCAGAGTGGAGTTAGAAAGCCAGGACAGCAGTACAAACATTTTAATATCCCGAGCGATAAAACATCTAACCAATCACCAAACATGAGCCCCCCCCCCCTTCTGAATGTTTGAAATACATCTTTAGGTCTGAGCTGTGACTGCTGTAGAGGCACTGTTTGATATGCTGGAAGCTGTGATGTGCACTTGGGTTTAAAGTAGTAATTATATCATTACAATTCAAGCACTTAGAGGAGTATTAAGTAAGGGCTGCCAGTTTATACCTGCATCCCAATCTGGCACTGTAAACACAATCAATTGAACATGATAATAGCCCCAGACGTTCATGTGGGCTGCAGCTATTTGTGCAGATGCTCAGCGTGATTTTAGTACCTTGGTGAAGCAGATAATAATAGGCTTTCCAGAAAAAATATTTTAGATACATTAGTGAGATTAAAGCAAGTATGTTGTTTGCACTTGTATTCCAAATGTAAATTATGTTGATTTACGTAAAGTTACATGCATCAGTGATTCATCAGGACACTTGAGAAGGAGGTTATCTTAATGGATTGTATCTGACCTAAGGCACCGAATAGAAATTTAAAGGAACATGTTCCTTCGATGTGGCCTTTATTCCTCAGCAACACAATGCACTAAAATCCTGGCTAGCCGGACCAATGTGGGGATGGTGGGGAGGGGAGGGGGTTTTGGTTTGGTCAGCTGGAATTTCTGGCAAAGTGTGATTACAATACCTTTTAGCGAATGAGCGATTGTGGAGTCCTGTAGCTCAGTGGTTAGAGCACTCGCCTCGCAAGTGATAGAACCTGGTTCGATTCCCGGGCAGGGCGAAATGTTGGGCAAGTTTCCTCACTCCACACGCCTCTGTTCACCCAGTTGTAAGTAGAAACCCGGTTGTTAGTTGATTGGCGGATCGCTTGTCCAGGGGTAATAATCCCTTCAAAAAAATTAAACAAGTAAATAAAAATAATAAGTCGGTTCTCCCATGACTCTGTGGGAACACTGCTGTGTGCGATTGGCTGCCGTGTTTCACGCCAATCTCAAAATATACAGTCAATTCATTTTACAGTATATTCTATGAAGTGTTTTCAGACGTCTTGAATTCGTGAGAAGGCGCTATATCAAATGCAAGGATTATTATTATTACCGTATGTATTTTCCCACAAAATACACTTAATTACAATGCTGGTACAGCCAATTACAGAATTTCACAGTGTAATCTTGAGAAGCGCTTTCAGACATCTCACTGATGCCATAAAGCGCTTAATTAAATGGAAAGATTATTAGGACATTATTAAGGCAGAGATTTGAGACTTGTTATTTGTCCTTTTTGGCTCTCGTTCTTTGCCTATAAATAAATAACGCCTACTCCCTCCATACAGTAAATCTGGTGAAACACTTTAAGCAGCATATTCCGTGAAGCGCTTTGAGACGTCTCGAAGGCGCAATGAGGCACTACATCAAATGCCAGGATTATTCGGATTATTCAACACTGTAAGAGACGTTCCGCTGACATGAAAAGCATTTCGATCGGGTGCAAGGATTATTATTATTGCAGTTATTATTCGTTACAGGGGGGCGGGGGGGGGGGGTTTGAATTTTATTTATTTTGAAGTAAATCAGTTCGATGCCCTCTGGTTCTCCACACAATGTCCCAGAGATTAGGTGGTTTGACGCAGCGTTGTGTCCTGGGCCATTGAGCAGAGAGATGTGACAGGAGCTGGGGAGGGGCGTGGGGCATGCTGTCGATGTGCTTAGGCTTGATTTCGGAGCTGGTCGGAGTTAGTTGCGGAGGTTGGTGTCCTTTCCCACAATACGCACGATGAAACGGCATTCCCCCCTAGTGGCGGCATCTGACCATTGTTGCCGTCTGGGCTGATTGCAACCCAAAGTGCTTCAAAATAATAATAATAATAATATGCTCGGTGTTTGAACCTCATGTTGCAGTTGGCGCTTATACGTGTCTATATATATATATATATATCTGTGTGTATATGTGTGTATGTGTGTATTCAGTAACCCAAGAAAACTCAAGTCCAAAAACCAGTTAGAAAAATCATTTGCCCAGAAGCTACCTTTTTTTTAATAAAAAAAAGTATGTGTGTGTGTATATATATGTGTATTTTATTTCAATTCTCCTTTTTTGTCTCTGTTTTTTTCTCTCTGACGCTAGGAGGGAAGCTGTGGTCGTACGCCAACAAATTCCTCCGGGAAAGAAGCCGAGAGAGTTTCGAGAGCCCGGTGTTGGGAAGAGGGCGTCCCGAGCCTCTCGGCTCCGAGGAGGAGAGGTCGAGCACGGACGGCTCGGCCCAGGAGGACAGCAGCCTCGACTCGGGGGGCAGCGAGCTGGGCCGCGTGCCTCTGAAGGGCGAGAGGAGCGCCCCGGAGGCAGGCGGCCGGGACTCCCCGGGGAAGCCCGGCTCGGAAGCTCGCCGGGCGGGTTGCGAGCCGGAGTTCACCAGCAGCTACCTCACTCTGTGCAACGAGTACGACCGAGAGAAGACCGACCCCGGCAGCCTGCCGCCTCCCGAAACCCTCCAGGCCGCCTGCGCGGGCGGAGGGGGCCTCGCCGGGGAGGCGGGGGCCGCTTCCCGCTCCCACTCCCTGCTCAGCCGCGACAGCCTCTGCTCCCCCTCCCCCTCTTCCTCCTCCGCCGCCGTCGACCACGAGCTGCGGTTCTTCACCGAGGACCTGGTGGCCGAGGTCTTCAGCCCCACCAGGTCCTCGGACCCCCTGAGCCTGTCCAAGAACAGCCCCATGGAGTTCTTCCGGATCGACAGCAAGGACAGCGCCAGCGAATGGCTGTGCCCCGACCCGGCGGATAGGCCCCTGGGCGGGAGGGCGGAATCCACGCCGGGTTTCCAGCTGGCGGGCGAGGACGGGTTTGAGCCCGGCCGGGTCAGGGCGGACCCGGAGGCCTTTCTGCCCCCGGATACGTGCAGCGGGGCCTCCTCCAGCGACTCGGTCCCTGTTATCTCCTTCCAGGACGCGGGGACCGGGGACACCAGCAGCTGCGAGGAGGGCCGGCCCGACTTGCTGGTCAACCTGCCCGGTGTTCCGGAGGCGGCCGCCGAGGCCGGCCCGGCCGGTCTGTCCCAGGACTCGGGCCCGAGTCGAGCCGAGGAGCCCGAGAGGAGGCGGCAGGAGAAGCCGGACGTTCTGCGCATGAGCTGCAACTCGGGCCACGGGAACGCCGGGAGTGCGGGCGAGGAGATCGCGGTGGACAAGCCGGAGGCCGTGAGGGAAGAAATGGACCCTTGTTCTTTCTTCGCCGTCGCCCATGACACGAACAAGCCAAAGGCCACCGGGTCCCCGTCTCCCGTTATCTCAGACGCGGCAGAACAATCCCTCGGGGGTCCGAGACCCGTCACTGCGGCGCACAGCGGGACCACCCCTCGCTCTGACGATTCCTGCCGAGACGCCGAGGTTTATCCCGATCGCAAAGCGGCCGCCGGGGTTGAAGACCGTCTAACAGCCCGCGAGGGGGACACTGCTGCCCCGCCCGACATCGGCGCCGCAGGAACGTGCGCAGGGCAAGCGGGCGCCTGCGACCGGGAAGCACCAAACCGCCTCCTGTGTTCAGCGAGCTCAGATGGGAAGGCAGTGGCAGGATTCCCCGCTGACCCGAGGACAGGTCGAGGGGCATTAGTCTCTCACGTGTTCGAGGAGCTGGAAGAAAGTTTGGTGCGAGCGTCCGCTGCGAACATCCCGGAGAGCTGCGTTCGGCAGTGGGCGACGGAGATCGTCCTCGCTCTCGACGCACTTCACCGGGAAGGAATCATATGCCAGGATTTGAACCCAAACAATATCTTGCTGAATGACAAAGGTCAGGAACTTTTGCAAATGCATTTGCCCCCCGCCCCCCCACCCACCCCCCAATATCTTTTGCTGTTGCTTCTCAATTAAGTGAGGAGGCGTTTTATCCTATAATTAGTATCTTCATTTCCTGTCTGAAGTCTCATTTCCAGTGCAGAGAATTCACCCACAGTAATAGCTTCTAGTGCTTAATGATGCCATTATTCTTAATGATACTGTTTTTTTTTAGCTACAAAAGAATAATTACAGTTCACTTCTGCAGAAAATGCAGGGAAAAATTGTTTTGATTTCTCCTGTCATTTTGTTTTTAGGACACATACAGCTAACGTATTTCAGCAGATGGAGCGAGGTTGACGATTCTTATGACAGCAGTGCCGTAGAGAAAATGTACTGCGCCCCAGGTTAGAACACTTAGCAGCATGTAAAGTACTTTGTTGCCTTCTATTCTGTGCTTTATGCAGCCCACATACCTTTCTTTATGCGAGCGTTCAATTTGGTATGCAAAGCATTTATTTGCAATTAGAAAGTGCGGCATGGGTAGAATTTATTATTCCCCCCCCCCCCGAAAGGCAGTCGATTCTGATGTAAATTTGCAATGAATGAGCATTTTATTTTAAAATCATCTCCGTGTAGCTTTCCCCCCCCCCCCCCCACTCCGGGAAGAAAATTCCAAGTCTTGAGCAAGTTCCAATATTCCTGTGCGTTTTCAAAATTGGGGTCTATTCTCTGAAGTGCTTTGAGGTGTCTCAACGACGTGATAAATGCAAGGATTATTATTATTATCATCAATATTAATAACTTAAATCAGCAAAAGATCTGACACCCTACTACCTGTCGCCCTAGTGGACGTGCGGGAAAGTCAGTATTGTGCGATGTGAATAAGTACCAGACAATCTTGTTCACCAATTTTCAGACAAAAAAATTGATTCTGGGTGAGAAAACGGGGGAGGCGTAGGATGGATAGGTTTGACGTTCAATTGGTGACTTATGCCAGTGACTCCAGCTATCAACACCGTACCCGTTCCGAAATGTATAGCCCCTGTTTGGAAATTGTTCCCTCTAATGAAAATCTGCTTATGATTAGGTGTCACCTTTATTTACTCTCATCTGTGTATAATTTGTATAACTGCAGTTATCCAAATAGACTCTCCACGCCTGGCGTAACAGGAAAACTGTAAATCATAAATGTTTTATATGCAATACATACCGACATTAACTGGGAAGCACAACCTGAGTGGGTGTGTGTTACATTCCTGTAACTCACTCGAGGGAGATTTGATGATGTCTTGCACTCCCAAGAGCAAAACCGGAATGGATTGAAATTCAGCGATAGAGTTTGCCGTAAAATTTGTCACACATTTATATGCAATACATACCGACATTAATACGCATTTATCTAGCGCCCTTCACATCGGATCACTTCTCGGAGTGCTTCACGGTGATCGTGTGGAGGGGGGGGCAAGGTGGAACAAGGAGAAACAGGGAGGTCACCATGGTCTTATTGGAAGGGGTAGGTTTTAAGGTGGAATTTAACGATAATAATAATAATCCTCGCATTTGATATAGCTCCTTATCACGTCGTGGAGACGTCTGCAAGGGCTTCACAGGATGGATGAGAGGGGAGGGTGGGGGTGGGGGTGCGAAGGACAGGGATAGAGGCAGCTTTCAGTCTGTCTGCTCCCACTCTGTGAAACTTCCCAAATCTTTCCCTCAACTCATTCAAGGTCCATCTCAAGACCTATCTCTAAGGCCATGCTCACCTTCCTCCTCCCAACCCCATTAGTTCCCACCCCTAGTTCAAGTGCCCAGCCTGTACTATCGAGCGCCTTGGGACATCCTCGCTGTGTGAAAGGTGCTGTAGAAACGTAAATTTGTGTTGAATTGTATATTCTATTTACTCCATTTTCTTTCTTACCTGTTTATGGCACATTGCTTAGAGCACTAAGTGGCTGCAGGGTTTACTATCTTAACTCTATGTAATCTCCTCTCCCCTCTTCACCCCCTCGCCCCCACCCCCCTAAAAAAGTGTTTTTGTTGGTGGGGGGGATGGAGTTTACTCTGATTCAGCTCATGTGGTGAATGGTCCTAATTGATTAACGTCGGGCAAACTTGTAACGGAAATCTGTTGCTGAGGTTGAAAGGATGTTTTGAGTAGTGCAGTCGTCTGTACCCACGACACAACCTGCCCTTTGCTGCAGTGAATCCTCTGTACCTAAACACTAACCTGTGAAACTTCCAGCACCAGCTCGAGATCCTCCTCACGAGATCAGTCTCACGAGTCCCAGCCTGTCGGAGAGGAGTTCGCTTGACAGAAAATACGGGTTGTGGATCACGGGGCCCCATTTTTTCTGGAGCTTAATCTGTTGCAAGGGCTTTTGAAATCCTCTGTCCAATTTAGTGGCACCGTGCACTTCTCACGAGAGAAGCAAAGCAACCTGAACTTTGTGCAGAAATACATAAGGGAGAGCTCTGAGACGTTATCTGTTATGTTTATATGGCCCTTTAGCTAAATAATTTAAATAAGGAATAGCAGCACTTGGGTTTGGGAGTGCTTGATGCACACACAGTGACGCAAGTGGCAAAAGTATTCAGTTCCTCACATGTTATAGGATGTACCCCCCCCAATCCCCCTACCACCCTCCTGTAACTCAGTGGTTAGAGCACTCGCTTTGCAAGCGAGAGACCTGAGTTCAATTCCAGGCAGAGGGCGAAACCTTGGGCAAGTTTCCTTACTCCACACAGAGCCTAATAATAATCCTCTAAAACCAAAAACAATAATAAATTGGTCATTTTTAATCTACGACTGTTTGTGCGACATTGCTGTGCGCAATTGGCTGCCGCGTTCGCCCACAAATATACAGTCAATTCACTTTACAGTGTGTTCTATGAAGCGCTTTGGGACGTTCTCCTGACATGAAAAGCGCTATATCAAATGCAAGGATTATTATTATATTATTATTATTATCTTGGAGTTGCCCAAGAAATATAATTTTATTTAAAAAAAATAAACTGAGGATGTAAGATAAGTATTTACCTGCAAACTACTCTACTGCCTCGGTTTGGACAGCTATGCTATGTGGGTGTGAGGCGCTTTCTTTTCAGTAATAGTGTTTGTTGCATGAATTATTAAGAGTTTTTTTTACAATTGTACAGTTACTTTTAACGCCCAGTTGTAGAGCACGCAAAATGGACACTCTTACGATTTGGTTTCAAAGCGTTGTAGATTCATGTGGTGATCAGCAGGAGACAAACTATTATCAGTATCTTTTGATTTGGTCTTGGAAGTCTCTCTGGTGCTGTAATGGTAAAGGAGTCATTGTAAAAGTGAGCCTTATATTGTCACTAAAATGCAGGTTACACATTACAAATCCTCTCCCCGCGTCCCCCATCCCCGTAAACACTGAATGTGGAGAACAACCAATACCTTAGAGTGATTATTACATTAAAGTTTATCCATTTATGACCATCGTTTGAACCCTGTGATGAGATTACAGCCTTGAAATCGTTCCGACGGCTTTTGTGCCTTCTCTACTGTGGGGCGTGCAAGGTGCCGTTATTACCAGGCGATTACCAGGAATTAACCCGATGAGGATATACTGGGGAAACCCGTGTATAAGCATCCTTTCATAGAGCACCCGTTTCCTGTGGGCTCATGCCAATGGAAGGTGCACCTGGCTCTGGCACTGACGAGCTAGCTTTCTGCATTTAACAAAAAAAATGGCCAACTTCCAGAAGTCAGGTTAATGTCAGTTCCTGCGTGTGTGCAGCATGAGCAGGAAACTCTACTTTCCCCTCTTCGTGAAGGAAATGACATCAACGGGGCCCTGATGACCTGGAACTCGGACATTAATGAGCAATTGGACCCAACCGACTGGGTTGCTTCCCAGAGTAACCTATATATCAGTTACATCTTTAATGAAGGGCCCATTAGTTTGCAATTTTTGCCCAACTAGGCCATGTTAGGAGCAACTCGTACACCCAGGATGTGGGCGAGGGTCTTACCCATTGGCTTGTACTCGGATTAGGGTCCGGTTCTTGTGAAACCCAAGAGTATCTCCAAGCGATAATTAAGGAATTGACGGCGCCTTTAGGAATAGGAACCGTTTGGCCCCCTTGTAAAATATAATCCCTCCTAACAACTGGGACCCCTCCGTGCTGCCAGCTTCGACCGCTTTGTTCGCCCCCAAGTCAAAGACTCGTTCGTCACTTAACACACAATGGAGAAGAGCTGTTGTAACAGTGGGCATCCAGCAGGTGATGTCAAGCACCACCGATGAAATTCCTGTCAGCAAATGGTGCTTGTAAGGAAAGATCAGTTAACCGAGCGTCCTTAAAATAAACGATTGACCGGACGCAGAAAGTTACAGATTGACTCTGCGATTTCGATGCAAGAAGCAGCCGAGGGAAAAATAAATAAACTATCCGGAGACAAACTGTGAACTCCTGACTACCCCTGTGTGAGAGGTAAAATGGTACCAGGTGGTTATGTACACACACACACCCACACTTTCATTCCCCCAAAATCCATGCAAGTGGCAACTTGGAGGGATGTTGTTCAGATTATCTTCAGGTTATAGCGAGGAAAGAGGATGTGAGGAAAGGCTGTGATCACTGAAGATGAACCACATGCGCCTGTTTCGTTTTCCCAAATTAAGTTGAGTTTTTCTCTCTCTCTCTCTCTCTCTCTCTCCCTCTCCCCTGCATCCCCCCCCACCTCTTCTCTAAATTCTTTCCCAGCTGGCAGTACATCTCAGTACACTAAGGTGACCTTGTTGGCTTTTGTCTTGTAGTCTGCACTATTAATAACTCGTTAATAATCACAGACACGTAACACAAAGAGATTCTGAAGTGCATTACCAGCCTGTTCCTAAAAGACAGCACCCGAACTGATGTTGCTTCACTTCAGGCCTGACTATCGCTTTTCGAAGGTTAGCTACCAATGTAGGAGGTCTCGGCCAACTACCTAACACGGTTTGGTTCATTTATCAAGAGAAAACCCTGCGAAAACATGGGCAGATTACCTTCTTGAGAGGAGCTAGTGGTGTCTGGTTCTTTTTTTCCAAAAAACCCCACAGACAATGGCAGAGTTATCTCACGAAAGCCAAAGCAGCATGGCCTGGCCTAGTCCAGCACGAGAGGAGCACTCAACAGTGACCTTCTCCTGCCTTAGCATTGTAATCGCAACTTAAGTGCTCAGAGACGCTATCTCGCGGTATAAATGCAAGTTGTTGTTGTAATCTCGTGTTGCCTGGAGAACCTGGCAAAGTACTTTTACGCTCTACTTATTAGCTCACCCATATCACCGTTCTCCCAACCCCTCCCCCCCCCACTTCGCACCCCAACTCTTTCCCCCCTCTCCATTCCAAGTGCCCAGTGGGAGGATCTGATACAGATGAACAGG